AGGCCAGGCGAGGCACCGAGGACCCCAGGAGCAGACGACGGACCGCAATCAGCTCGTTGCGGTCCGTCGTGCATCCGGAACGTTTTACCAAACGAGGAGCACGAGGAGCGGATGCGGTGCTCGATGCGTCAGCCGCTCGCGCAGGAGTACTGCGCTTGCTCCGCCCGCTATGTTTAACGAGAGCGGCGTAAAGGCCACTTCCGCAGCGTGTTTCGTTCACTGGCATGCCCCTGTTGGATTACGACCTGAACTTCGTGGTAATACGAAACTATAAGCAGTTTCCTTAGATTTCCGGGAGCCACCAAGCTGCTCAAACGATGGATTTCGTCCCTTTGTTGCAACAGTGAGTGGACTTCATCAAAGTGCAGTTTTGTTTGCTTCAAATCTAACGACTTTGACAATCGTGCCAGATGTGTCCCCGCTGAGTCAAATTAAGTCGATCCAATGTTGGTCACGATACGTATTAATGAAATACTTGAGTGAAACTCCACAGCACAGTCCAATGTCGGTTGCGATGCCCCAAGAACAACCCAACCGTATTGTCAACTTGCATGAACGCTCCAGAAAATATTTCGTACGGGGGTGCGCAAAATAATTGCCATCAAAGTTTGTAAATATCTAAATTTCTTTCCACGCAAAACTTATTTCTCGAGCTGAATGAAATTACACGCGTCGTTAGAATTCCGGTATCCACTTGCACGATGGTAACGAAGCGTAAAAGAAACATAATGGCTTCAATTTATTGGTAGACAACCAAATAAGAGGCAGCAGGTGCATTGAGCTGCTGCTTTCATGAACAGAACCACGGTAGAACCTGTTGCCACACAGTTCGTAGACGCAACCATGGGCCATTCAGTGGTCACGTTTGGTTCATCTTCTCTCTATTGTTTCTGCGCAAAAAGCTATGTCAAGCTACACTGCTGTAAAGTGTAAAGGGGACAGAAACCTCATCAGGCATCACACCTTTAGTCTCTGCCCACCTCCCGGTCAATCGGGAAAAGAAAGAATAAAGAAAAAGAAAAGAAAGGGTAAATGGCGACGGGAACGAGAAAGAGACGGGTGACACGGGAGAATGGCTTGGGAAAGCTACGTGGCTGACGTCATGCCCTCCGCGTGACTTATCTAGTTTTTTTTTCGACGACTCTTGGCAGGTCTACAATTGAAACCATAGGTTTAGTTTCACTCATTAAAAAGGTTAATTTAGTTACAGTATTTACTCGCAGAATGAACGCACTTTTTTTCCGAAAAATCGATGCAAAGTTAGGGGGGGCGTTCATTACGCGAAGTAAAATTTTTGCGCCCGTATTTACTCGCATAATGAACGGACCTTTTATCTTGAAAGATCGAAGTAACTTCTTATCTCTTTGCGCGCGGCGCCCAACCCCGTAACCAAACTAAGCTGTACAAAAAAAAAAAAAAAACTCCTTTTTGTTTTGTTTTTCTTAGTTCCTTGTTTTTTTGTGTTTTTTTTGCCGTCTTTCGCAAGCTGTTTTGTTTGCTTAGGCGTTGCTTAGGCGAGGGCTCTCCGCTTATCTTTCTTATCTCCTTGCGCGCGACACCCATAACCGAACTGCGCTGTGCAAAAGAAAGCAAGCTCATCCTTTTTCTTTTGTTTTCAATTCCGTGTTGTTTTTTTTTTTCTTTTTGCAGTTTTTCGCAAGCTGTTTCGTTTGCTTAGAGGGCTTCTCCGCTCCTCTTTCTTACCTCCTTGCGCGCGGCGCACGACCCCCAAAACCAAACTGCGCTGTGGAAAAAAAAAAAAAAAAAAAAAAGCTTTTTTTTTGTTTTTGTTTTTTCTTAATTTGTGTGTGTGTGTGTTTTTTTTTTTTTTTTTTGCCGCCTTTCGCAAGCTGTTTCGTTCGCTTAGAGCGATCTCCCTTCTCCGCTTCTCTTTCGTACCTCCTTGCGCCGGGCGGCGAGCAAATCCAAAATCCAAAGCAGGGGCGGATCCAGACCTCCATTTTAGGGGGGGCGGTTCCTCGGTGTAAAACGGCGGGGGGGGGGGGGGGGGGGGAGTATTTATATTTTTTGTTGAGTTATCTTTTTAACTAAACTCTGATAACATAATATTGATCTTGAGAGCTTTTGTATCGGTTTACCTGTCGTGGATGAACTCTTTGAATTAAAACCTTTCGGGTGACCACGCTAGAGGTAAGTGTAGAAAATTGTGGTGGCACTATCCTTTCTGAAACTTGGGTTTCAGACCGACACTACGTGAGCAGTCGATTTAGGGCAGCTTAAAGACATTGCCTTGGCAGACATTCTGGTTGGAGCTAGTGCTCAACTGCTGCGGCAACGGGAAGGTCGGCTTAAATCAATGGAGCAAGTACGTTGCAAACAAGCGACAAAAATGAACCGGCGGCTTCGACGCTGCTCGCGGCGTCAAAACACTGTTGACGCAGCGAGCGAAACGAACGCTGCCAGGCAAGTTCGTCGGTTGTTCGCCGTATATTTGGAATGTCCAGAGCGCAGCACATGCGGCATTGCCAACCCAAACTCGTGTTTTCACGTGTTCTGGATGCAACTCGAGAGAACGAAAGCGAATAATTGTTGAATATTTTTGAAAGCATGTTGCAGTTCGGCAACTATAACTTTTAAACTTGGACAAGACCTTAAACTAGCAATGGATCCTTCCAAATTATATTCAATTGCACTTCGTCTGGATATTTTTTGTATGAAAGGAACACTTGTTTCTGGGTAGTTAGCTCATTCGTCAGGGTCGAGAGGACAGGTGCAGAGATATGATGCGGCAGAACGGTTGTCCGGTCGGCGAATCTCAACTGGACTAAAGGCCGATCACGACTGCAGCATGGATGTTTGGGAGTCGGTGTTCACTCGAACGGGCACAGGCACTGTCTATTTAATTTATGTATAGTAGCATCTTTGAAAGGGCTCGTTTTCCCCAAGTCCCTAGGTAGGGAATCCAAAGCCGCACGTGGAAACCAGCAAGCCCCGCCTCTGTTCCGTTCGATACACACATATTCGCTCCTCCAAAGCCGCGCGAAGGCTCTGCCATCAATCCACAGAAGCCGCGTTTAACTCGAAAAGTAAAGATGGCGCCAAGGGGAGACAAGGGGTAGCGGGCGCCTTTCCTAAAATATGTCCCGCCACCCTAAGTTGAAACGGCATTGTATACAAATAAATGCCTACGGCGTCGGCTTGAGGACCCCGTGTAAGCAGCCTCCAGCCTTTAGAGTGCTCCTACCGTTTATCTTTCTTTTATTAGCTTCCCGCCACAAGAAGTCGTACCGCAAATAGTATGAAGCCCATTAGAGGAAATATGTCCCCCTTCTGGCGCTCGTCGGCTTCTTTCTGTATTCCGCACTGCGGCGCTGATCCTCAGTGAGGGAGGGAGGCGAGGACGAAAGCGGGCTCATGTTTAAGCCAAGGTCGTGGGGAAGTCCGGAGCATCTTCAGGAGTAGCTCAGACCCAGACTACACTACCCGGAGCATTTGCTTCCTCTCTCAGTTGAGAAGAAAAGTAAATGGTCACCTGGTTGTACAAGCTGCATCCTGCATCGATTGCTTACGTTTTTTCTTCGAGCTGACAAGGAACCCCGGGGGGGGGGGGGGGGGGTTGCCTGGCGAGACGTTTGGGGGGGGGGGGGGGGGGGCGATCGCCCCCACCGCCCCCCCCTTGGATCCGCCACTGATCCAAAATGCGCTGTGCAAAAAAAAAAAAAAAAAAGCTCCTCTTCATATTTTTTTTTCTTGCTTCCGTTAGATCTTAGCGAATTTTTTTAACGCCTTTGCAAGGTATTTTGTTCGCCCACGTTGCCCATGCATTCGCGACCTCGCTGCACTAGGATAGAAAAGTGCATTCATTTCGCGCGCGTGGGGGGAGGGGGTCAAAATTTTGAAGTCCGAGTAGGGGGTGCGTTTATTACGCGAGTGAAAAAAAAAAGTTGAAATTTTGTGAGCCGACTGGGGGGGTGCGTTCATTACGCGAGTGCGTTCACTGTGAGAATAAATACGGTATTTATTCGACTTTTGCCACCCACCGTGGGGAGAACCCTGTAGGGGGCTAATCGTCGAACCAAGTCGAATAAATAACTAAATTAACTTTTTATGCACCACTCCGAGTAGCCGCCCACCGCTTGACTTTTTTTTTTTTTATGTCGCGGGATGACGATGCGATTTTGCCTGTGCAAATTGCTGCAGACCGTCGCCGTCATACTCAGCAGGTCCGCGCATCGCCACGTTATCATTCGCTGTCGCATCGCTAACTGCCGCCACTGCTATGCTGCTTCAAACAAAAGAGCGCAGGCGTTCGTTATACATAATGACAAATACACTGCAAAAGGACGAAAAGCGAAGAGACACACTGGATAGAACAGAGTGCTCTGTTCTATCCGGTGTGTCTCGTCCCTTTTTGTCCTTTTGCGCTGGGTATTTGTCATTATGTATAACCAAAACCAACTAGCCCGACTTCCTACTTTATTGCAGGCGCTCAACGTGTTTCTTTTTTTTTTTTTTATTTCAGTGGCGCGGCCGCCGGTAGTGTTTTGGGGGGAAGGGGGGGGGCCTTCTTTCACCCCTTCCCTCCCCCCTTTGTAATGTCCACCCCTCAGAAATTGCTGGGGAGAATCCTGACCCCCTATATTATATCACCCCAGCCATGTACCTCACTCACCTGCACGCACCGCGTAAGTGCAGCTTTTGCGGCTTTTCTAAAACTGATTGTGTTTAAGAGTTGAGCTTGTTGGTACATATTTGTAAAACTATAAAACTAAACACGAAGAAAGTAAGTAGAGGACAGACAGCTGCTGTACTCCTGTCCTTTCTTTCTTTGTGTACAAATTCAGTTTCGTAGTTGAAGCTGACTTTTTTTTAAATTCTAAAACAAATTTGTTAAGCCTAAAAAGAAGCATCCTCTATGCATACCTTACATGCCAAACTCTGGATCAAGACAAAGTAAATTTGGGAGTGCGGCCTCTGCGGAGCGTGGGTGTGACGTGGCACTTCAGCTCCGACCTCTGGTTCTTCCTCGTTGCTCCCAGGAAGACGCCGTCTGGTCGGAAGGGGGCCGGCCGAGCCAAGAGGAAGCGGCCCGGCGAGGACGGGACCTCCTCGACGGGAGACAGGGGTACCCTGGGACTTCTGGGGAGCGACGGTCTGTCGGCGGCCGACACAGTCTCCATGTCCGACGGCAGCGTGGCCCCGCAGCGTGAAAAAAAGAAGAAGAAAAAGAAGAAGGAGAAGATCAAAGGTAAGCTCCCTTTCGGCAGAGGCATTCAGCGAATAGACCATTTTCACTGGCCAGCTTCGTTACGCTACTGCCGCTGCCCGCATCGTGAGAACTGTTGTCTTCGTACGTGTGCAGCAACTCCGCTGCTGATCTGCACGAGCAGAGCGCGGACGATAAGAGTCGTCTCGTTCGCAGGCGCCTGCCTTCTGCAAAACGCACCATTGCATCCAATCTGAGCCGAAACGCCGCTCTGCGTGGCACGCGGTAGTGTCAAAGCCGCCTGTTGCATTTTTCTGCAAACTGCGACGCACGCCGAGGCCGAGACAACTCCTCTCCGGCACTTGCTGGGCCACCCTGCGCTTCTTTGTCATCCGCTTCTGAGACGGCAGTTGTTAACTGTGGCAGGACTCTCCAGATTTACACCTGGATTGCCGGGCTTTCTCGAAGCTCCCGCTCTAATTGTAAAGGCTTCTCCGACTCTGCCGCGACAAGCTAGCGGCTCTCCTTGTCCCTCGTGGCTCGAAAACTCCTTTCGTGAGGTGCATTTCCGAGTCAATCTCATACCCGTAGGCACGAATTATGCGATTCGCTGTCGGCAACGACCTCCTTTATACTGTTGCCCGTTGCCAATACATTTGAATGCTCAGATGGCTAACACACTTGCATTGGCACTCTAGAATTTTTCGACAATGTCTCTGGCAAATACTGACTTCTGCGTTTGAGCAACTTGTTTGATTGTATAGCTCTGTAATGTTTTGTAGAGGAGTCATTATGTAATTATCTAGAGGCGCTGAACTTAAAGAGGCAGAGGTTTTGCGCCCTAAGGGGGGGGGGGGGGGGGTGGGGGTGAATCGGTGAAACAAGTAAAGAAAAAAAGTTGGGTTCTGATTATTGCATTATCGTAGGTCGGGGCTCTAGAATATGTTTCCAGAAAGTTTGCGGTAGATTTATGTTGGGTCGTGCGTTTGTTTTAAGCTTCAATTGAATGAAGGGATGTTGCCTCCACTTACTCACTGAAAAGCGGGACAAGCTCCTCCTGCAAAGCCCTCCTTCCATTCCACTTGGCGGAGCAGATGCCAGAGGAGAATCCCTCCTCGTCTCGCCTCCTCTCCAACATTCGCTCTGGTGAGGCGGAGAGAGTCGAGGCTTAGCGCTCGCCTTTCTTGTCTCGTAACAGGATATATCAGACGACACCGGAGTGTAGTTTTGGTGCTGCGAGCGCCGGACTGCAATTTTCTCGGCCTCAGCGTGCATCCAGTTCCCAGAAAAATCTGACGGGTGGCTCTGATAGTACCGCGCGCCACAGGGAGTGGCGTTTATGCTCGTATTGGTCGTGATAGTACTTGTGGCGGCATTATGCGTGCTTGCAATGGTTACTGAAACCACTCTATTAGGCGTTTGTGTTCCTTTTGAGCTTTGTCAATGCCGTTACGTGTCGAGGACGAGAAATGTAGCCATTGCAGTAGGTGGCCTTCAACATGCGTCGCGCGGTAGTGGTTGCACGAACGTGCGCCGGTGCTCGACCATTCTCGTCTACAGCGCCTGCCCACTCGGTACGACGATTGAGAAAACCCCCTCGCCTCACGTTTCGTTGCGACGTAGTGGGATGGGGACTCCCAAGTCGCGTCCATGACGGTGCACATGCCGGGGACCATTGGGGCAACGCTCAGTTCAGCTCTGCTTCGGGCAAGCCGGAGGCGGAGTGGCGCTCGAAGCGATGCCTCACTGGAGGGCAAGGACGGTCGAGGGAGGGCACTCGAGGAACGAGGGGACTTTCGCGAATGTCCCGACAAGCAACTGGACACGGAACTCGAGTAAAAATACCTAGAAAATGTCGTCATATTTGCAACTGGGCATTTCGATAAGTAATTATGATTGGAATTACTAGCTCGCTTACATAATTCAAATTACCCATTGTATATAAAAAGTATCTCCATCTCATTGAACCCATCAAAAATACATCTAGTGAAAACGGTCCATTCAGATTCATTTACGCAAAGAAACAACTGGCGAGACATTTGGGCCTCCCGTCAGGGTTTTAAAATTAAGGTAGGAGACACCTCTAGTATGTACTACCATTTCTTTTGTCATCTAAGTAATTTTAATTTCAAAATTGGCTCAAAACGGTCAATATAATCATATTTTTGGATTTTATTAAAAATCTTCGGCGCTTTTGAGGGAAAATCCGAGGGTACTACCTTCATTGCATCTTCATTATGAACCTCAAAAATAATCAGTACTCTGGTGCATTACTGAAACTCAGGTTTGTGTAGCCAAATTTGCTATTGAGTGACAAGCGGGTGAATCTAAAACGAGAAAGACACATAGAGTGCCCAGTTGCCTTCGGTGGCCATTAACTGTGCGACCAACAGACAGCGGGCGCATAGCATGGGTGATGTGAAGTGGCTTTCGTGACCAAGATTAGACGATGCTTAATCAGTTACTTTTCGCAGTTCTCAATAAATTACGACTGTTATCAATTCGGTCAGTGTCTCTGAACTATAAGGTATAATATTTTTTCGGTATTGTGTGTAGTTTTATAAATATCACGGCTCAAAGTTTGGTTTCGACCGTCTGCGGCAAAATTGAAACTATTTGCTAGATAGGGATGGCAACACTGGTCATTAGCCATAAGGGCCGCGACGCGACGCCACCGTGGTGCTGCAGTACGCGACGCCCAGTGTTGCTGGGCTAAAAGCTAACCTGCCTGCTGCCTGCTAAGGAGCATCTGGTTGTATCTCTAAGATTGGTTTTAGTGGAGTACCTGGTTTCACTTTGACGTAATATTTCGGCTGTGATCATATTTCATGCTCTAAAGCAATACCAGTCATTTACTTTGGTTTCGTTTTTGACCAAAGCTGCCCTTCACACTGACCGGGTATTAATGCTCGCCAAGGTTTTTATTTGTACATGACACATAAGAGCCCAACCACCCAGAACACAATTCGCAGCTCGAAGTTTGTTTTCTTTCCGCCCGAAAACCGCCGATCAAGAACTGGCCAGTTTTAGTCTCACTCACTCTCTTCTCTGTGGTCATGTGCCGTTTTCTAGGGTTCAGATACAACCCCCAAAGATAATCAAAGTCGTTGGTCATCGAAGGCGCACACTCAATGTTAAAAATAGAAAAAGGATACGATACCCTATTTTTGTGGCTTCTAAAAAGCTGAAAATACTTTGATTGAAAAAGAAAAAAAGCTGCTCAGCCGCGTGACTTTCAGTAACTTTCTCCTCCTTAATATTTCTTCTTCCTCCCCAGTCCAGTTTCGGTTTTGGCTTCGAGCAGTTGCGTTTTTTGGCTTTATTAAAAATATATGCGATGCTGTAGCAAAATAGTGAAGGAGTAGTCTTCTGACACCATAACAAATCACCTGCTAAAAACTGATGACTTTTTTGGGTGGTCTCAGTGTCCTTCTAAGCTGCCAAGCGACCAGATAGAGCCAAGCCAAGTCAGCACACGTGCGCATTGTGGCTGCAAGTGGGAAGTTGCAGAAGCAAGGACAACGTAATTTCACGATGCCCACAGGCAACAAAATTGGGGTCGAGGAATTTCCTGGCCTTCGGACGTACTGATGCGAACAAACGTGCCGTGGCCCGCAGCCTGTTTTTAGACGGTGAAATCGCGAAAGTTGTTAGGTCTAAAGACAGTTGCGTCAACTTTTGTGCCAAGTTCCACCGATGCGAAAACTACTTTGAGCGTCTTGGGGCGCTTTCTCGTTGGCGGAAAGAACGCCGAAGTTCTATTTTCACGCACTAGAGTGCTTGCCTAACTCTGAAAACGACGGCCATCCCGAGTTGGGTGGTTGAACCTAGGGGGGCCCACCTGACTGTGTCCTCCTGCATTTTCGGTCTCGGACCTAGCAAGCACCCATCCGCCCGTTTTTCATGATTATCTCCCTGTTTTGAGTGGGTGCATGCTCGGTATTTCACGGTAGGCTTTTAACGCAGAATGTGTTTAAGGGCGGGGACATTTCGGGAAGACGTGACGGGACACCTTGGAAGCCGTTACGAAGTGTGCAACGGATACTTGAGATTTGTTCTGTAGAGGGGTACGCCGGGAAGAAAGAATGACATTCTGAACACGTCCCGAAGGAATCAAGCTGTTGCGAGCTCAAAGTTCTACCAATGCGCCATGTAGTTGGTAGATGCGAAGCTAGCCGACTTTGTCTTTACCACAGTGATCGCCGGATGGTGTTTGCATTCGCAGCCAGTTTTCGAAAGTCATGTTCAAACAGTTTGTGCAAATAAATGAGAAATCTATGACGTGCCTATCATCGCATAAAAAAGAAACAGAGTTTGGAAGCAAATACCACGCTGTACCCAAAGAAGGAAAAAAAAAACTGCAATGCCGAAGAGTGCCACAGAAACACATTATGTATACGAGGGTGGTCCGATAAGTACTTGGCCAACACAAGAAACACAAAAATTTTGAGAAAGTGACGGTTTATTTTTCAATATAGTCTCCTTTTAGTTAGATACACTTGACCCAGCGATGCTCCAACTTCTTTAACCCATCTGAAAAATATGTTTTCTCCAAGTCAGCAAAGTGGGCTTCCGTGGCGGCGATGACCTCCTCATTAGACTCAAATTTCTGCCCGGCAAGTGACTTTTTCAAGTCAAGAAACAAAATGAAGTCGCACGGGGCCAAATCTGGAGAATACGGTGGATGGGGCAGCAGTTCGTAGCCCAATTCGATCAATTTGGCCGTGGCGAGGGCAGAGGTGTGAGCCGGTGCGTTGTCATGGTGGAAGAGCACTTTTTTCTTCGCCAAATGGGGCCGTTTTTTCTGCAATTCGGTGTCGAATCGGCCCTATAATTCGGCATATTACAGCCCTGTGACCGTTTTGCCCTTCTCCAGGTAGTCGATGTAGATCACACCTTGTGAATCCCAGAAAATGGTAGCCATCACCTTTTCGGCCGATAGGACAGTTTTCGCCTTCTTCGGAGCACGTTTGCCGGGTGAAGTCCACTGTTTCGACTGTTCCTTGGTCTCTGGTGTGTACCAGTGGATCCATGTTTCGTCGGCAGTCACGAAACGGCGCAGAAACTCCTTCGGATTGCGCTTAAACAGCATCAAACACTGCTCTGGAGTGGTCTCACAGTTGCGCTTGTTGTCTGGAGTGAGCAAACGCGACACCCATCGCGCCGACAGCTTTCTCATGCCCAAAATTTCATGCAGGATATGACTCACGCGGTCTTTTGAGATGCCTACTGTCTCAGCTATCTCGTGCACCTTCAATCAGTGGTCTGCCAATAAGAGATTGTGTATTTTTGTCACATTATCCCCCGTGGTAGCCGTTTTCGGGGCACCTAGGCGTGACTCATCAAAAACCGACGTGCGACCACATTGAAACATGTTAAACAAATTTTTGACGGTCGCCATCGAAGGAGAAGAGTCACCGTACACAGCATCCAAGCACTCTTTGATTTCACTGCGCGATTTCCCTTCCAAAAACAAGAATCAAGTGACCGATCGATATTGCTCTTTTTTCATCTTTCTAAAATTCGCGAATATGCTTGCTTCCACATGCGGTCAAAACAAAACTACGAGTCCGGTTCGGTTGACATTTCGATAGTAGCCGTCTACGAGAATGTAATGCACGATAGTAAATTTCTCTTACAATAGTGGCGCCATCAGGCGGTGAGGCTAAGTACTTATCGGACCGTCCTCGTATACAGTCGCCGACCGATTTTTCAGACACAGATTATTTGGATACGTCCGATTATTCTGACGTCTTTGCAGAGCCGTCGCTCACCCCATAGAATTATTGTATAACATTAACCGAAATTTTGAATGCAATAAAGCTTATTGCTCGATATTTTTGACATAATCTGCACGATTTCCTCAGTTCCAGCCACAAAACAGCCGCCGCGATAACACTGCGAACTTAGTCGCTGCCATTTTGGTTGATTTGATTTTGCCCTGAAGCCTCGATACCACGTCCTACGCACAAAACAGGCTGGGTTGAGGCTATAGCCAGGTTTTCCGGTTCCGCTATAGCCAATGTGGCCGCCGTCTGCCCATTCTTATGGCTCTTCTAGTTCTTCTCGTGGTCCGTGTTTTTTGAGTGCGACCGCGAAAAGAGCGGCCGTCTGCCGTTCTTGTTGTCTTTGAGCGCAAAGGTTTTTTGCCGATAGGCTTAGTATTGAAGCGAGCTTGGAGGGCTTAATATCATCAGCATATAGTGCCAAATGGCGGCAACTTCAACTTCACTATTTGTGCCAACAAAGGTGTGAACAAAGTGCCGCACCGTGATCAAACAGATAAACAAACAAGTGAAATGTGAACAATATAAAGCGGAAGTTGCACGAGAACTTAGAATTGGCATCAAGCAAGTGGAAGGGGGCTAATACGCAGCGGAATATGCGTGGAACTTTGGTAATTTGGCTGAAATCAATTCTTTGGACAGCTTGATTATTCGGGCAATTTTGGGGTCCCCTCCGAGTCCTAAAAATTGGTCAGCGACTGTACCAACCTTTTCCTTAGGATCAAGATAAGTCTAGCATTTTTCTAAGGCTGCACGCGGTCAAAGCCGAAGTCGTAAGGACTCGTGGTTTTCTTGATTCCCGTCGGATTCCTCGTGACCGGGACGGTTCGGTCGTGATTGCGAACATGGTCAGGCAGTAAACTAAAGTGTAACAGGGTGGTGAACTGGGCCAGTTGGTTGACGTTATACTTGATGGGTAAAACAGCTCGGAAAATGCGGACTACGTCTCTGTCATGTTTGTTCTTCTCAATCTGCGTTTTCTGAGCTGTTTTCCCTATCAAGTAAACTAAAGGCAGAGGAGGAAAAAGTGTGGGAACCAACTGCGGTTGCAACCACTTAATATAAACATGTCGTTCCTCCAAATGATTGTCTGTAATGCGAGTTGTCCTTAAGAATGAGACAAAAATGGGATACAAAAGGGGTCCATAATAAGGAGGCCCGACTGCATTCTTATCTCTTATTTGAAACATTGCCAGAGTGCCGTTTTGTTTAGCCTCAATAAAGCGATATGTGGGGTCGTTTTGTTGCTGCAGATTCTACGTCGGATGGTTCGACGCAACTGGAGAAGAAGAAAAAGAAGAAGAAAGCGGAGGTGATGGAGTCGAGAGAGACTTCGCCTGCAAGTCCTGCAAGACCCAGAAAGAAAAAGCTCTTCGACTTGGACAGGGATGACGAAGCGTTGCTCACTTTCCAAAACAGCATCTCCTTCTTGCGCAAGGGCAAAAGCAAGACTGGCAAACACGGCCAAATGTGATGCCCAATCCTCGATTGGAAGGGAGTCGCCGAGGGCAATGTGCTCCAAAGTCCATATCATTGAACCATTGGTTTAAGCTCGCGTGGTTTTTACTTTGCACCCTTCGCAAACACTAATGTTTTTCCAAATATTTCTTTTCTTTCTTAACGTACAGCGTGTATACCAATGCGCAAACCCACTTCAGATCATCCACAAAATTTGGTTTCTTACGTGTCGTGCTGTGATTTACTACATAGGTGTGGCTAGGTGTTGAAAATTTTGAGTGAAAATATCAATAAATAAACTTGCCTCGTTCAAAGAAAAAAAAAAGAACCTGTTTTAGGCAAATTTGGAGAATTTGGAGACTGTGCCATAACGGTGCTTGTCAACAGGTGGCGCAAGTGACCCTACTAGAGGATGCGATGCCTCAGTCAGTCATCTCCGTACAATAAATGAGGGACTCCGAGGGATTTAAATACATCCTCATATTTCGTTGATTTAAAAAAAATTATTGCACTTTGAAAATTATACATTATACTCCGGATGAAGTGTAGTCAAAACTTTTGGAAGATTGTCTGCTAAGCTCGGTGTTGGGGTGTCCTTGACACTTTTGACATCTGTCGGCAGCATTGCGCAGACGACACGCACTGTCTGCAAACTTTTGAGTGGATAAGGCCATTCGTCGGTATTTTCACTCCAAGCTTCCACCGCCTATCCGCACCTCTGTAGTAAATGGTGGCGCAATACATTGAGAAACCGATTTCTGCGAACCATCTAAGTGGGTATGAAGCGTTACTGTACGCGCTGTATATGTGTACAGCGAGGCCCTGAAGGCAAGTAGTCCCTCGGAAGAGATGGCATAAATTATTTTTAACGCAGAGTGTCTTTTATGAGTCATTTTTGTGAGAAAATTGTTATAAACGAGCTTCATCAACAATTGACTTGGATGAGCGCCGTAAACGAGTGTCACACTGGGTGCATTACACGACGGTATGTACGGGCTGTTTGAGATCATTTCTAACAGCTTTTTAAAAAAAGGGAATGAGAGACGAGTGCCATGTATTTATCAGGCTCGGCAGACATTTGACGAGGGAATAATTGTTGCAGTAAGTTGCCTAATCGACTGCAATCTCCTAATTAACTTTTGAATTGCAGCTGAACCTCGATTTAACAAAGTCACCGAGACGCTCTAAATATTTCGTTGTATCGGGAACTTCGTAAAATCGAGAAATTCATTCTTCGGGCATAGGCTGCACGGGGAATCCGAATTCATTTGTTAAATAGGGAAATTCATAAAATCGGGTTTCGTAAAATCAAGGTTTAACTGTATTAGTTTTAGGGGTACATGTTGGAACTGCAGTATTGATGGCAATCACTGTTAGAGGCCAGACCAATTTAAAGAATTTGCAAAAAGGTGATGGTTTTTGTAGTTATTCATCAATTCATTCTCGCGTTTTTCGCCTGACTAAAACTGCGTGATCATACCGTGCCCACAACGACGCTTGGAAGAGTGGCGTAGATGTCAAGGTCACGTCGTCACTTCAGTTGTCGGCGCACTCGCCGCGGACATGCTGCAGAGGTATTTACGACACGATTGAGAGTGATTGGTGATCGATGCTGATTGAAATGACAATGTCACTCTTCCAGGCGTAGGCAACGTTGGATATGCTCTTTTTGCGGGTAACTTTTTAAATCGAGTGAAAAGATTAGTTCTCATTACCACCAGCTGCGTCTTGGCCACTGGTTGCGGCCCATCTTGTCCCCTAGTTGTGGCCACGACGCGGCTGGACCGAGATTAAATCAACTTGGCAGCTGGCCAACTCATCTGCCGCAACTGCCATTTGCGATAAGCAGGAAACGGAACAAATGGCCCCGGAACAAATGGTCCCGGAACTAATGGTCCCAAGTACAAACTAAGAAAGAATGGTCCCAGATAAATATTGCCAATATGGGTTTCGCATTTTCGAATAAATCCGATAATATCCAATAACACTTGCCGGTAAAACATTTTACAATTTCCAATTTATACGGAAAGCTCCGAATTTCGATGCTGCCGGTTGCACAAACTCATCCGGTTTTTATATTTTTCTGGGAAACTCTGAAATGTTTTGTGCCAATTTTCTTTTTTTTTTTCTTTTTTTTTATTTAAACTTTTGTGCTGCAAGCGTCATAAAATAATATATTTTCAGCCCGTATAAAAAAGAAAAGTTAGGTAGCTTCTCTACGACAATAATCGAATGGGGCTCGCTTATCTAAATATACTGCTCAAAAACTGCTATATAAAAAATATGCTCAAAAACAACTGCAAGGCATGTAACCGGAGATTCAGCAGAATTAGTCGGGCATAGCCATCCAACTGTATGGAAGGCGATGGACGCTCTACGGGCGGAAGCTTTATCTGTCTCCGTAAAATCTGCTCGGGAGTTTTTACGGAAAAGAAAACAAAAAGAGCGCTGGTCCAGATGCAATGCCGACTGCAGACTCTCCGCCCAGTAGGACCAGGGAGCAAATAAGATGGAGGAATTCCTTCGAGGCGTCAGTCACACTGTTCGGTTTTGAACACCAGGAGTAAGATGTTAAGGCACGTCCATACATGTGTGTTATCAATAAATTGTATAATTTTTGAACATCTTGTCGTAAAATTATAGTTTAACCTAGCTAGTGCAGTTGCTGATCTGGTTAAATAGACATGGAGGAACAACAGATGTGCACGGAAACCTAATACACCTATAAAGGCATCGAGCTCCGCTCGTTCCGTGTGCTATACCATCGCGCTTCATGGCGAGATGGAAGTCATTCGAGTTTCAAGGCTTCAACAGAATGACTAAGGGTACTCATTTTTTGTTTCAAAAGAGCTTACGGGTACTATAAATATCCTAAAGCACCTTATATGAAAATAGTAATAACTCCTACAATATTGCATAAGGTCACTAAATTAACAGTTAGGAGATAACTGTTGGACTGTACTAATTTTGAAAATATTCTGACGATTTTGAAGAAAATTAAGTTCAATACCCGACCACTTTCTTCGAAGTAACCGGACTCAAAATAGAGACGAGATCCTTCATTCCACCAGGAAATCACTGATTGCATAGCTGATGAGGAATATTGTATATACAATATACTTCATCCGTTATGGAATCGGTGATTATCGTTTAGAAGCTAAGAAACTTTATTGTTTAGAAACTAAGATGCACCATATGGTGCATCTCAGTTTCTAAATGATATTCTTACGGGACCATTTTTTCCTACCTTGGACTTGGGACCATTAGTTCCGGGACCATTTGTTCCAGGACCATTTGTTCCTACACCCGCGATAGGCATATTTTAACGCTTTTGAAAGGCAGAAAATAATTGTGTTGCGTACGACGTAGTGATTCTTATTTGTGTATGTTTAGACAGCCAGAAGTTAGTTAGCCTCAGTGGGCATTATGCTACGCTTTAAAACCGAAAGATTGCTAACCGATCAAAAACCCGAGGTCACCGACCATTGTTATCGTTGCTTGCAGACAAATCGAGGACCATGAAGAAAAAATTACAGCGCAGCAATGGTAGCACACTTTTTTTTTAGATCCTCTCAAAAAAAAGGTGCGCTGCAGTACGGCTCCGCCCGTTTAAAACTGGCTAAAAAATGTATTGCTACGCCCTGCCTCAGAGCTGCGTTGAAGAAATTATGTCACCATGAAATGGACAGGAGCTTCCTGTAACAAATCGATCGCCTATTAGGTGTGGGTTTTCCACACAAGTCGCTGACTGATGCGACATATGGTCTGAAAGGGAAGTATAGAGGTGTTCCACGAAAAGTTCATGAATGGCAAAAAAGAGGAGCAGCCATCATTCCTTACTTACATGCTATCTCTCACAATTTGAAAATAGTTGCAGAGCGTTACAACGTTCCAGTTGTTTTTTCGGCCCCGAATAAGCTTTCGTCATTGTGCAAAAGAATCAATGCTCCAGACAGGGATAGTGACAAATGCAAAAAGAAACAAACGTTTTCCGAATTTACAACCTCTGTCGTCTGCAACATTCAGCTATCCTGTGGGCGTACTTACGTGTGCCAAACAGGCCGCTATGTAAATTGCATGCTAGAGAAGACGCAGCAGCTATCAAACAGGCGCCGTCTGGGCATCTGGACATGCATTATGATCGATGTCCAAGCACTCCCTTGTTTTCAAACACAGCCATCCTGGGACGACACAATGGAAAAACAAGTTCTGTAAAGTACCGATGGAGCGCCCAGTCAAAATATGGAGATAATTGCAAGAAAGTGGAAAATGGGCACTTGTTAGGTCACAAATTTTATCTATATGTACTGCACATATTTCTTCAGATGTTGCAACATCTAGAGATGGGCGCCTATTCGGCATTTTACGGTAAGGAAATTCACGAAGCATTTGTCATCAAAACAAGGGGGGCCGATAAGTGTATCAGTGAGCTGTCTGTGACACTGTTAGATAAGAAAATGTTATTTTTAGAGAGGGAGTGTTGTGACTGGAAATGACATAGTTTTATTAAAGTATTTAAGTCAGTGTGTTTCTAATATGCTTTCAGTTGCAAGTGTGCTCCGTGTTGTCGTTACCTCCTTCACTTTGTCCCTGTCCTTCAGTGCTTCTATCCAGCTATTTTTATTAGTACTAGTATTTGGGGTACTATCTCAGCGATGTGTGTTTAGAAAATTGGCAGACAAATCGGGGACCATGAATAAAAAATTACAGGGCAGCAAATTGATGGTCGAGGCAAATTTGTAAAAACCACAGGGGTGATAATTTATGAATGCAATGCCATTTATCGTTACACACCGCCAGATTTAGTGGGGAAACTGAATTGGTGCATAAGTCGTGACGACATTTAGAACGACCTCTAGGAAAACCTCAAGGATAACATTGAGAACGACATCTAAGGCGTCCTCGAGGACAACCTCTAGGAAGACATCAAGGACGACGTCGGGGACAACCTCAAGGACAAACTGTATGAAGACCACAAGGACGGCAACCTAGAAAAGATGTCTAGGATAGGACAACCTCTAGGGTGATCTAAAGGACAGCCTCAAGGACGACCTCTGGGACGATGTCAAGGTCGTCGGGTCCTTCGAAGATGCTGCGAATGTGAAGGAGACTGTGTCGCTCTCCACACGCATGGCGGAATGGGGTGCAGTCGCAGAGCTGAAATGGTCTTGCGCATACTTACTGCACATTAGGAGGCCAGATTGTGATGAGCAACTTAATGTTATTGCATTAAAACTTTGAGGACGCTTAAGCTTCGCCTTTAAGAGTGGAATGCGATAGCATTATCGGGCCCCATTCGCAAAGCCTTTTCATATAAATCTGCGCTCGTTCCCAAGTGCGTGCGTGGTCTGGTCTAGTATCGCGTGATGTCACGAGTGTGCAATGTGGGTTGTTTGAAATATAAACATGAGGTCATGTGGCGTGATGTCACAGTCGCGTGTGATGTGTCATGCATGTGACGTCGCACGTGGCTACAATGTGATGACCCTATCAACCCACTGAATTTGGCGGGAAAATTTTCTTAATTTGGTGGGTCGATAGGGTCATGACGTCACAGCCTCAATAGTGACAGATAAGTTAGTTGGTAAATGACCTCTTGACAAAATGCGCCGCAAGACGGGAACAGAGTAAGGGAGACAACACGAAGCGCTTCGTGTTGTCTCCCTTACTCTGTCCCTGTCTTGTGGCGCATTTTGTCAAAAAACGTCGCAGCCATGTGTCACGTCATACTATCAATGCCGACGCCATAGTTTCTCTAACATGAGCTTCTTAACTCCGGCGTTAAAACGCCGGAGTTCCAAGCTCCCGAGCACAAGACATTTCTGTGGACATCTACAGGTTTTCCCACTCATTTTAACCCGAGCGAAGGCCAATTTAATTCAAGTGCCACCAAATTTAATTCAGGCACCACATAATTTAATCCTTGCACTACCCAATTTAATCCCGGGGTCAGTCAATTTAATCCGCAATATATATATGCATTTATTGTCTTCGGTGGTCGTGTTTGCTTACACATTTGGTAACTTAGAATAATTGTTTATACAATTAGATTTTTTGGGGGACAACGGATCATTTGATCCCTATTGTGATTACTTGGAGTTACTAGTCCCACTATTGACGAGGCTTAGTTGATATGTTGATTACTCTTTCTGTAATATTGAGTTATTGTGGCGCGCTCAAATTTATTTTAGCTGAATGGACGTTTTGTTTAACCTTTCTTTTTACTCGACTTAACATTGCTACAGTTCTAATGATACAAGTACAATTGCAATTTATGATTACTCTTTTGATTACTTTGGGTTACTTTTGACCCATTAGCCATAAATATGAATTAAATGTCATTGTGATGACTCCTAATTACTTTTAGCTAATCTTCAACGAATTCAAGTTTTATGTGATGATTATTGACATTATGATTACTCTTGATTACTTTGAGTTACACTCAGTTCAATTGAATTTAATTTGGCCTAACTGTCATTTGGCAACTCCTGTTTAATTTGTGTAATTACAGTGCCAATTTATCGGTTGTGAGCTCAATCATACATTATTATTAGTCTTGATTACTTCACGTTACTTTCGATCCAAAGGATTTTAATTCGGCCTCATTGATATTGCGATGACTGTTTTGATTTTTTGGGCTAATATTTAACAAAAGTATTTATTATTAGCTCAATTGACATCACAATTCCTTGTTTGATTATTTTGAGTTACTATTGACCGAAGGGACTTTTAATTCGGCCTAATTGTCATTTTGGCTACTCTTTTGATTACTTTGTGTTATTATGCCTCTAATTGATCTATAAGGAACTTAGTTGCCATTATTATTACTCTTTTCCCCATTACTTTGAGCATATCTTCATACAAACTTATTTATTATGAGCCTAATGTATATTATGATTGCTCTTCTGATTACTTTGAGTTACCTTGACCCAAGGGATTTGTCCTATTTCACAATTTGGTAACTTTTCTGATTACTTTGAGGTCACATTCAACCAATTGGTCTTTTAAGAGCTCGATTCACAATTTTATTACTCTTTTGTTTCAATTAATCCCAATTCGGCTTAACTGACATTGTAATGAGACTTGGTTATTTTCTGCTAATTTTTAACCAATTGATTTATTGTGGGCATAATGACATGATGATTATTTTTTTTTACTATTAATCCAATGGGCTTTAAATCTGCCCAATTAACATATTGGTGACAATTTTAAGTATTTGGAGTTATTGTGCCACCAATTTATCTATAATGAGCTCAATTTTCATTGCAATTATTCTTAATTATTTCAAGTTAATACTGACCCAACAAACATTAATTTGGCTTAATTTACAGTTTGATGATTATTGATTACTTTGAGCTAATGTCGAACCAATTGTGTTCGTATGAGCTAAATTTGTATTATGATTACCATTTAAAATGGTTTGAGCTGCTATTGACCCAGTATTTTTATTACTTTGGGTCATTATGCAGCCAATCTAGTAATTATTGGCTATATTGATGATTTGATTACTTTTTCAATTACTTCTAGTTACTTTCTAGTTACTTTACACTTCACTTCAATTACCCCAGACACCAGAGGGCGGCGTCGGACCAAAAGTTCTTCCTGTGAGCCCTTCTCGTCCGACGACTCCCTTTGGTGTCCGCGATACTTCCGAGATCAACAATCTTTGATTCCGATATAATAGAAAAAATGTAGAGACCTTTCACTTCATGTGAAGATGGAGGACCAGCGAAGCTATTTTAACGGTCTAGGACGATCTCAAACACTGCCTAGAGACCTCGGGGACGACGTTTAGGACGACCTCGAGGAAAATGTCGAGGACGACTTCTTGGACGACCTCAAGGACGATGCCTGGAGGACGACGTCTAGGACAACCTCAATGACGACGCCTAGGCATCGTCCGAGAGGCTGTCCTCGAGGTCGTCCTAAACGCCTCGTTGAGGTCGTCTTACACGTCGTCCTCAAAGTCGTTCTCCAGGTCGTCCTAGAAGTCGTCTTTGAGGTTGTCCTAGACGTCGTCCCTGAGGTCGTCCTATAGACATCGTCCTCCAGGCGTCATCCTTAAGGTCGTTCCAGAAAACAATAAGTGCATATACATATATTGGATTAAATTGACTGATCCCGGGATTAAGTTGGGTAGGATTAAATTGGCTGGCACTTGGATTAAATTTCCTGTCGCTTGGATTAAAATGAGCGGGTAAACAGAAGTCGCCTTCACAAAACATTTTATGTCTTTCACTAGACAACATGTTCCCCCCCCCCCCTCTCCCCATTTTTTATTGCAAAAATAAACTACCTATTAGGGGTGTCGCGAACTTTTGTCGAACCAGATATTTTGGTCGAACTTCCGGGGTTCGACAAACCTTCGAACTTTTAACCAGATTCAACCGGTTCGACTTTGTGGACAGTGTGGCCAGACTTTTATAGAAGCATGTCTAAGTTTGGAGAAATTGTTTTTATGCGAAGGGTTAGTTTTAAATTTATGAACAGTTGCAATTAAAGAAACCAATTCTAATCACTGAAGAAGTTAATAACTTAATTATTTTGTGCTGTATTAACTGAAATAACCAATCAGCGCTGCACTTAATTCATCTCTTAGCCATTATCATCCCATCCGAAGCCCACTGGCCAGCCTGTCGCGCATGCGCACGCGAGTCGAACGTCAATAGAAGGTTCGTCGAAATTTCCACCAAAAGTTCGAAAAAGTCGAACCTGGTCGAACTCGAACCGCGGCCGGTTCGCGACACCCCTACTACCTATGCATCGTGGAATCCGCCCAATCGTAGTGCTAGAGGTTCGAACCAGAAGCCAAAGTTGCAGCATTGACCGTTATCTTATTCAAAAGTTTAGTAGTGTTCTTAAATGTTCAATAGAAAAATGGATACTTGTAATTTACAGTTTACAATGGGGCTCGTTTTTGTCCGTTTTCGTAACTGGCGCCTAGCTCCATGTATTCGAGAGCTCTGTTGCTGTCGGCTGCCATTTTCCCATTGAAACTTTTAAAACTACATCTGGTCGGGGGACGAGCGTTCGGCGATATGTAGTTTATTTTTGCGGTGAAAAGAAAAAAACCCGTAAACCTGTAAATTGTTTGGGGGAACACCCTGTACAAGGCAACGAACGTTGGTACCATAGAGTTATTATAATGTACGCTAGAGGTTCAACTGGCGCTAGTGTCTATGCGACTTCCGGGAGGCAAATTGAAGCAGACGGCAACCAGTCAACTTTTGCGGTGCTCCTGTGCATTCCTATGGGAAAACGCGTGTGAAATTTGTCTCTTCGCCGGAAAATAACATAAATAACTTTTATTATTTCGGTTGTACCGGATAGTGTGTACATTTATTAACATTGTAAAAGTGTAATTGCTTTAATTACAGCATTTTTCTTTACCACTGAACGATGTTAAGCTTCGCTATATTTCAGGCCCAAACCTATGTTTCATGGCAGGTATGTAAAAACGAGCTACGATTCTAAGCAAACTAACGGTCGAAAATAATGTAGAGTGTGTTCAAGGTTCGCTAGCATTGCAGTGGCGCAATTATATATTGCTAATATGCCCGTCCTGTCACTCTATGAAAATGACTCCTTCGTGCTTCTTTACGACGGTTAAAAAACATTTGAATATAAGAAATAAAGTACGTGGACTACGAAAGGTGTGCCTTTTTATTATTTCCTATGCCTGGCAGTATTTATCGGGCACCTATTCTCTGACTTCTCCCTATTTGCAAAGATTTGGAGCGTGCGCTGGCGTGCGGTTGATGATTGGAACCCAGAACATGCATCTTTGCACATATTCATGAGCAGAAAGAATAAAGCAGTACTTAATTATTGCAAAATTTATTTTGATCACCTGCATGCACAAGGAGTTACTTATCCAGTGTTACTGCATAGTTCTTGCCGCCTCTCTTGGTTTTCCACGTGTCTTTCGTTCGTTTGACGCGCCGGCCCCGTGTTCGCGCCACGACCAACAGAGTTGGTCGTGGTTCGCGCTAACAGTGTCCGACAGTGCACATAAATACATGTACGAAGCGGTTTTAGCACCGCTTTTCATGCCACGAATTTCAAATAAAAACGCCGTAACCGACCAATTATTTTGTCTGCGTGACTGAGAAATGTTCCAATGTGCCAGTACGTACGAAATATTCGTGATATTTGCTCTTATAACCGAGCGCAGAGAGAAAATGCGCTGCTTTTTCCCATAGAAATGCATTACCGGAAGTCATTTTCGGACTGGTTGCTGTCTGCTTCAATTTGCAGCAGCACACTAGCGCCAGTTGAACCTCTAGCGTACATTATAATAACTCTATGGTTGGTACAAGGCTGCGAAGATTTTTGTCCTTCTTACTGCGCCCTCTACAACGACCGCAGTCTGCCACAAAGATCGCGTCGGCAAAGCCTGATCTGTTACGGAGCATGCGCAGAAGAGGAAGACACGTCTCACGCGGCTGCGACGCTTGTTTATGTCGATATAAAAATACGGCACCGCTTTCTCCTCCCAATCGAGCCGGCAGAGAAAAATGGGTGAGTTGTCCCGCTCGTCTCCATTCGGTGTAACTGGCCGGCCACCCGTACGACCGCCACGCTCGCGCCCGAAGCCCCGCGGGTCGGGCCGAACCCAACGGGCCGCCGGGCTTTGGGCTGTACCCCAGGCAGGACCGCTCGAGCCCTACCCCAGAGGCTCTCGCTGTTCGGGCACCACGGGCCGCGACGGGTATTCGCTGACCACTCTCGCACCGCTGTCACGCGAGCGAAGCACCTGGGCTCGCCGGGGCCCGGTCCGCAGAGGGCCCGCGTCGAACGCTTCCCCGACGTGACACTCGCCTCCTCGACGCCTACTCTGGGGGTATCTGGCGTAGCAGCGCTGCACATGGAGAAGCGGCCGTGCACATTGGGAAAGGAACGGACGACTGCGCTCCGTGAAAGTCCCGTCTCTCTGGCGGTAGAAGAGCCCCGGTGCCGCTCCACCTCGTTTCCGAGCGTGTGCCCGAAGTGTCGCTTTTTGGGCCAACTTCATCGCCTTGTGCGCGCACTAAGATTAATAAGATTAAATGTTGCGGTGCCTTTTCGACGAAGACACTCTCGGGTGGCGCAGCTTTTCGTGCTCTCACGCGTGCGTTTCTTGCCACTGCCAGGGTGGCAAAGTTGCAGGCGCCCCAGTTTGCGCCGCGCTTTTGAGAACAACCACTGACCTTCGGAGACGTCGGAAATAGATTCTATTTTTGACGCCTGACTGCAGGTGGTTGACCCGAATGGATCGCTTTTTTCGCGTCCTTTAGAGTGTTCTTTGAGATGTATGTACTGCCTCTAGTGGCAAAGGCAAGAAGTCGAATGAGTGGCTCTTGAAATTTTTGAAAGGGTCTGCGAGGATTTGTGCAGCTCGCATAGTGCCCATTGGGCATAGATGTAAGTGAATCCCGGGACACCGTGTTTTGTTCTCTCACAGTGCACACCGCTCTACTACCTTGTGTGCACCTCATGCACGACGAAATGAATGAGAACTGACGGGCTCTGCTTTGGTCCTTCGAGCGTGTCGGTGGCTTCTTTCGACCGATGCTGTCAGGTTCATTGCATAATGGCAAACGGTGGCAGAACGCTGCTTGCTACACTTGACAACAACATTTTGTGACAGCGCAGGGGCGAGGGCTGCCCAACTTCGACGGGTGCCCTAGACGAGTTGTTATATCCTTAATTTACATGCAATTCGTCGGTTTACACAGGTACCCATTGCTTTAACTCCACTGTCACCAAAGGTGGCCCAAGAGCACGGCACTGGTTGTAGGAGAGCGATAACATGTTTGGCGGGAGGGGGTTCCATTCACAGCAGAATCAATTTTCAATTGTCGCTGGCGTTCGTTCAGAATGAACAGAAAATCGCTTCAGCAGGCTGAGGCCCCCTGCAGTCATCTTGAACACACCATTTGTTCAACAACAGATTGCGACACTAATCCGTTTGGCTGAAAAACTGTGGTATGGCTGATGGCACTGCTCTTCCTCCTTTCTGCCGCTACCCTGTGCACATTCACAGGGTGCTCTCACTTGTATAATGCAGTGCCAAATTTACTCAGCTGCTAAAAAAACCCAGCTCATCTGTTGGAGGATGCCAAGCTGTGTAGCTTTTATTCTCCGGTATGGGCTTCTGGCTCACGCCTTTTTGACAAACATAAGAGAGTTTTAGTGATACGTATAGGGGCATATGCAAGCCCCCTACGTTAGCATTAACGTTGCGTCGACGGAACGTTACGGAGTGCGTCGAATACACACTTTTAGTACAGCGGAAGAAGAATGCATACGTAAAGACTTGTAGCGCCATCTAGATGTGCTCCTGTAAACTGCTTCAAACCGTAAAGACTTGTAGCGCCATCTAGATGTGCTCCTGTAATCTGCTTCAAACAATCCAAGGCGGGTATTTGGTCAAGCCAATCCGAAGCCCCGATTCTCCTCGCTTTGTTACGGAAGTGCGTGTTTCCGTGTGCTTGTTGTGTACGTGTTTTGTCTTCTTTTTTTTTTTGTACCGACTGCACGGTAAACACCTTTTTGGGTTCGACGGCGTCGCCAACGTTCTTGGCTATCGACACCCATTTTGTGGGTGCTTGAAAAGGTTTGTCGCGTTGACTTCTTTGAGGAGGTTGATTTCATCTTCAATGGTAAAGCGAACCCGTACAATGCGCGTAGCGCTTCCGCTGGTTTGCCTCACCGCCGCCATTTTTCAAACTGGACTAGTCTCGCGCTCTCCCGTGCGCGTCGAGAGCAACGAGATTGATGGCACGCAGGGGACCGCGACGTATGTTCGCAAAAATCGATAGCGAGCGTACGTACGCAAGGCTCGCCGCAGTACGTACGTATGGCGCATGCGCAGTGTGGAGGACGCAACGTTTACGTTAACGTATGGGGTCTGCGTTTGCTCCTATACGTATTACTAAAACTCTATTGAGTGATAAATGACCTTGCAGCTTGCCTTGCCCAATTTTCGTTAATAAAATGTTTAGTAGACCCTCTTTTTCGAGACCCAGGTTGACAAGGATGTCTGCTGAAGAGGTATTGAGCATTTCAAAGGCGGCTACGGAACAAAATATTGTTTCGTAGGAAGGCATTGCGTAGTAGTTTGATTAAAGTACATAGACAAAAAGTGTGCTTACAAATGATGGTATTCTTCAAGGTGCCAATTAAGATAATCGGTAGTTTGAGTGGGTTGTTCCGATAACCATACTTTGCGGTGCATTTCCGTATGCACATTGTCATTATCAGAGTGCAAAACGTATCCACTAAGATTTCGTAATGGTGTAGACTTTAGGTGGGGTGCAATGGTGTATAGTATGAGCAAATGAACTGAAAGACTCCATTCTCTTCCCGAAAAAGTCGCACGTTCGTCGTGACTCTTAGTCGGCACTAGCCCTAAAAGGCGGTATCGGGAGATTTTAGATCAGATTAGCTCAAATTACCAGCTGTAAACTGGAGGTTCTAAAAATGATAGCTCTTTGCATCCTTCAATAATCCCCTCTTCATCCTTGGTTCGTCATACCAACTTTGCACTACAACATTTAGTGTGCTGATGTTTCTGTCTCCAAAAAGAGCAGACAGAAACGAGCCTAACTGTTAAACCGTCACTTGGGGCAACGATTGTTTGCCAAAACAACTGCAATATTTTTACAATACAGATGTTTTCAGCACCATTACCGCTGAAAAATGCTTGTTGGTAAACATTTATTCAATCTGGTAATATTGTGCCATTTTTAATGACCGTAGCATGGTTTTTATTTGCTTCGTTATGGTTTTGATTAGTGTGACATGCATTCACTTTTTTGAAGCTTAACTGTTAAACCGCCACTTGACCCAACGATTGTTGGCCAAAACAACCACAATATTTTTACTATTGAGACGCTTTCAGCGCAGAATAATAGGCATACCCCCAAGTAAGAGTGACTTTTTAGGCATCTTAATCGTCACTGTACTGTTGGAGAAGTTGCTTTCGTCGCTGCGACAGCAATGCTGGTGCAAACAGCAAAACTGAAATGTTCCTGGTGACTATGGATCAAACCCCTCCAAAAAAAGTGTCGCAAAGAAGTTTTCCGGATCGCTCGATGCACTCCGCCACTTTCTCACGGATAACTTGGAGCCGCCTGCAGAGGGCGCGCCGAGCGCTTACCGTTTGCCCGGGGAAGGGGCCATTACTTACGGAAAGTGGAACAATTGGAATGCAACAGCACCGATCAGAACCCTGGCACCAGCTCGCAGCAAAAGAGAACCAAACTACACCTGCCGCTCCCTTCCACTCTTTCTGCCACTCTCTCTTCCATTCTTTCTCTGGGAAGGCCCGGAGCGTGCTCATTTCATGGAGCAGTGTGTGCTTTATGTCTGAACATGTTTTACCCCCGCCAAGAGTAACACGCACTCGAGAAAGAGGTTCGGCTGACATCGGTGTCCAATCGGTGAGGAGACGAGCGTCTGCATTTGGTTGGCAGTCGGCCTGTCGACATCAGTCTCTGGTTGGTGACCGGATGTAGTTGGGTGACAGCCATATAACAGATTCTACGTTAAAATGAATCCGAGGAAAGACTACACAGGCGGCGTTAACATTGCTCGACAATTTTGGTGGCACATGTTGCGGGAAAGTGATTTATTGGACTCTTTTCTCGAGCGTCGGATGTGGTCCGCGATTACCGGCTTTTTGTTGCCTCACCGAGATACCTGGCCATTAAAATAAAAGCACCTCGACAAAATTCACGTTTTGCATTTCTCACAACTACTGCCAATCGTTGTTGTGGGAACGCGCGAGTCGCGTGCTACGAGCGATTGCGCCACCACCATTTGTTTTCCAGGGGCGCTCATTTGAGCGCTGCTCCGCCATTTACTTCCAAGGGCCGCACGAGGCACTGGCCTCGTCCACTGGTGCATTTGATGCTATTTGCGAGACAAACCCAAACAGATTGAGGGACTAACTGAAATGAGTAATAATGAATGAACTCAAGGACTGTGTTTTGGACAACACACTGTTTCCTGTAAAACTCAATAGCCTGTTTCCCAATGGCAGGGATGAAGTGAAGGGTAGGAAGGGAAAAGTGGAGGTCAGTTACAGCTGCACCAAACCACTGCTGTTGAAAAGCATTTATTTACAATTTATTTACGGAGTACCTACATTGCCCTGTGGGCATTATTGTAGCAGGGCTATTAGAATATATTACAAGTGAGAAAAGATTAAGTCATTATCGTCAATTGATGCAATCTCGCTCAGATTCAATTCAGTGAATGCATGGCTTTAGCTTTCTTCCATCGTTGCTCTTGGATACTGCCAGCGACATCACTTGCGGAAAGAATCCCATCCATCGCTGGAGCGGTAACTGAGCTGGGTTGCATTCCAAAGCGGTGCGACATCTGTTCCTCTCTGGCTCCGTGCCAGCTTTGCAACGCTCCTATTGGTCCCAAGCGCTGACTTCAACACCCTCTATCCCCCGACACCTCCTCACCACCCCACTGTCCTCGCGATGTCATGCATGGCGCTGACACACGGACTGATACTGGGGGGTTTTCGTGAAACAAGCGTTCAAATGCTAGCGCATTAAAAAAAACTCAGTGTCAACTATTTTCCACTACACTGTCGAGGCTAGCATAGCAACCACAGTGCTGCAGCTCGGCACTGCTGGGAGAGCACATGGCTTCATCTTGCATCACTCTCGTGCGAGGGAGACGCTGAATGAAGCGACGCGCTCGTGCAGGTTGCTTTCCTATTGTCAGTCAGTGCCGTAGCTCCGTCCTCACTTCGATTGTGGAAATTCAATTCCGCACGCAGAAAATGGGTTAAGAGGCTTGAAGGGTAAGGAAAATTAAGTGCATTTGTGTGCTCTAGAGGTGTCTCGTAAATTTATTCTTCGGTTGTGTCGGGCGAGAATGAAAGAAAACGACAGGCAAGCCTCTCAAACGGAATCTGTTGGAACGCTAGGTGCTTCTTGTCCTCCGAGCCGTTCACATGACCAGAAAATCCCACTTGCAGCTATTTTAGCTGCCGGGAGAGATGACCACATTGGTTGGCAAACCACCCCAGAAGTTTGGATACCATATAAACCGGAATATAGGTCGAATTTGTTTTTGAAAATGGACCTGAAAAAGTCGACCTTCGTCTTGTAGAACGGTCATTAGCGGAAAACCAAAAAATAATGTCGCAGCACTGGGTGGCTGAAGCCGCCACCTTGTTTTTCTTTACAATCGCCTAGCACTCGTCCACTTGTCACGATGGTCACAATTCACTTTCACTTGTGCTCCTTGGTTTGTTGCATCTACCGTTGCCGCTCCCGGACTGATAATAAGCGCAAGTAGAAGACGGTTCACGGCAGCCTTCAAGAAGAAGGCAATCGCCTATGCAGAGATCCACGGGAATCTTGCAGCGCAGCGAGAGTTTGGTGTATCGGTAATGGCGAGGCCCGAGTGAAAAACTGGCAGCATGCAGCAAGGCGAAGAAAATTTCATTTTGTGGAAGGACTGCGGTGTACCCCGAATTGGAAACAAAGGTGGCAAATTTCATTAGGAATTTGCGCGCCGGATCGCTACCTGTGACGTTGGAGCGAATTCGTACGAAAGCCGTCGGGGTGGCTCCTGCCTCCGGGCTCTCGAGGGTGCAATTCAAAGGGACAATATCGTCCCTTTGAATTGCATTAGTGAACTCGTCGTTGGACAAAGTTTCTGAAGAATCCGAGTAATAACGCTGGTGCACTTCTTGTTTTATTGCGTGCGAAACAACTAAGTACAGGAGCCGTGTTTTCTCGTCCTTCCGTATGCTTGGCCAAATTTTTTACCAAGCTAGGGTTGCATTTTTTGCCATAAAAACTTTTTTTCGCTTTTTGCAAGTTGTAAATTAGGGGGTCGACCTATATTCCGGTTCAACCTATATTCCAGTTTATACGGTACCTTGTTTTGACAACCATCGACAAAAACTTTGTACTAGAAAACAATTTTTGCCTACCTCATTTTTTTTTTATTTTTTTTTTTAGGTGAGTTTTACAACAAGCGTTGAGCATCAATCTTAACGAAATTCGGCCCATGTTTTGAAGCTGTACCTATCAATAACTGTTAAAAGTTTTAGACATAAAAACTGAGCAGTTGTCAAGGAAATTGATTTTGCATTTCCTCTTGTCTTATCTACGAACCTCGTAAATTTGAAACAAATCAGTCGAAATGTAAACAGTGCCCATTTTTACCAAAAACGACACTTTTCACCTTCCCCATCAAACTGGGTTTCTGATCCACGCAAATCGATTTTATATGGTGACGAAGACTGCTGCCTCTTTTATACGACTGCTTGAACTAAATATTCCCGGTTCCACCGGTTACCCCGATACCCCAGCCTATGCAACGGAGAAGCCGGATCAAGCCCGCAGTTTTGGTTCCATCACCGCTGGCATGCCCGTCGTCTGGCATCATTCTCGTCTCGTTCTTTGAACGCGAGCGTTTTCCGCCGGTGAACCTAGCGACAAATCGAAGTGGCGACACGGTCGAGTTGGTTCACGTCAAAGGTACGCGGCACACATGAAAGACAGAGTCTGTTTCGCAGAAATCTACACTCGGTGACAGGTCAAGAACGAAATGGAAGCTCCTCCCACCATCTCTTTCCACTGTGGTGGAGCAAATGCTGGAGAGGAGGTTGCTTCCTCCCAACATTCGCTCTGCTAAAGTGGAAAGACGTGGGGGGGAGCTTCCACTTGGTTCTCGACCTGTCGCCGACCGTAGCTCTCTCTGCACCGTAAAGCTGGATGCAACTGTGTAGCACCCCTCTGTCTGGCGGGGTCAAAGCCGGGGAACGGACCTTTCTCTGGGAAGCACGCGTCTAGGGTCGTGCCCCCGCTCCCCCCTGACCCTCCCTCCCCGCAGGCGGTCTGCTGAGCTACTTCCGGGGCCTGCTGGGGAGCCGGGAGATGCGCATCCTCATCCTGGGCCTGGACGGGGCCGGCAAGACCACCATCTTGTACCGGCTGCAGGTCGGGGAGGTGGTCACCACCATCCCCAGTGAGTGCAGTCACGTCCCCTTCCCGCCTCGCTCTTGGAAATGGTTTGGACGTTAGCCGTTAATCGGGTTACGACGAATAGGAGTATGGAAGTCGGCCGAATTCATTTGATTCCTGTTCCCTGCACGGGTTCATTGTCTAGGGGACAAGGATAAGGGCCTGACAGAGCCTCTGTCTCTAAAGTTCTGCAGCTCAAGATAGTTGCATAATAAGAATTCCACAAAACATTATGCGAGAATTCTACGAAGCTAATCAAACCAAAACGGTAATTAGCGGCACATTCATTTGGTATATATAAATCAATTACGTCGTAATGTTAGTTGGATTACAACCAAAAATAAGAACAAAAAACTACAATATAGTTGTATCATATACCTCCGAGGTGTCAACAAACAAATTCGGAAGAGATTAAAATAAAAACATATTTAGTTGAAAGCGGCTATATGCAGTGATTACGTTCTCAAATCAATCCCGAGAGTGCAAAAAAAAAAAAAATTGTGTTGGCCGTACTATTTTATGCTACATGCGGAAAATAAACGGTCAGTTTCTTTTTGTAGCCCATTCTGGATGTACAATATACGTTAATATATTGTATTAGACGAAGTATACCAATAATTCTTGTTTCCTTGTGCCGTAACGACTAGGCTAGAACTACCAAATGTCCGCAGAGAGCCGCCTTTTGTAGCTTGACTGTGCTTGCAGCAATGCCGCAGCCAAGTTCTCCAGTAGGTGGATGTTGGCAGCAGGCGCGACAAAGGTCATTCACATCAGTGAACCTCGGCCACGTCGACGAAGGGAAAGAAATGCCGAAAGTCGCGTTTAAAACCTTAATGCCCGCTTTGCACAGCCAGCAACCCACATAAGACAGAGCCATCCTTATGATATCTTTAGGCCGTCCTTTCAGGAGGCATGGGATGGCCCTTGGGCATCCCAAACATGTTCCTCTTTGCTCCCAAATACATCCTTCTTGATACAGCCAAGTATGCCCCGGGGAGATAACGGGGATGTCTCACGGGAGCTTTTCGGGATTTCCATAGGACGTTCTCGGACGTCGTATCCGGTGGTGGGACCTGCTTTAATACTGCTAGATTTGGCAAAAAGCCTGCACATTTTAGATCCTGCCTTGGTCTTTCAAGGTTCTACTGTCACAATAGCAATAGTGCCAAGCGTTCCGTAGTTCCATGAAAAGGATTGAAGTTATGCCACATGAGTGAAGTCATTCAAATGAGATCCACATTTATTAAATCTGATCACTTCATAAATTACTATAGAAAATTCACGGGGCTTCCAAAAAAAATTGTATATGTTACAATATTGCTTAACATTGCAACACTAGAACGCAGTTTCAGTTAAAAATGACTTGGAGTTCTCTTCGGCCTCACACCGTTTCAAAGGATTTGAGATCGCTGAAAGGGCCCTAAAAAACACTTCGAACTCGAAAGTCAAGCGTCGTCTGCTCACGACGATAGGCAGCATGCACGGAGGAAATCGGTTGTTTGCGAAATGCCGACAAGCACGACACTTTGGGTGACGGCAATCTGGAGGCCTGAGAGAAAGTCTAGTCACAGGACAGCTCAATATTTGACATCGCTGCCGTGGTGCGAATCGCGCGGGAACTTCAAATTCGCCATTTGGAAATTGTTTTTTTACTTCATGAATACTGAATTCCCAAGTTTCGGATTTTGAGGTTAATGTCCAGGCATCGTTTTCAATTATTTTGAATAATAAAACAAAATATGATTTTGACCTGTCAGTGCCCCTTAATGTTGTATTTGAAGTTTTTCAAATTATCCGAGGGTGTCACCTGTCCTTCGCTGCAAGCTATCGAAAAAAAAAGAAGCAAACTTTTGAAAATCAACAGTGGCCAGCAAGCATGAACCTCAGAAAGTTAATTGCAAAGTGGCATGTTGACTAAGCACCTCAAAATGCATATGAATGTAACATAAATGTTCCCGCAGATTTAGTACTCGTACAAATGCCAGTACTCACAAGTGAGAGGGAATGCATTCTATAATTTGTTTCACATTAGAAGTGGGCTGTAAAGGGTACATGTATGTGCTTGTAGCTGTGAAAGCCTATTGCCCTAATTTCCACACATTGAAAAGCCATTTCAGAGTTATGAGCATGCATCTGTTGCTTCCACAGTCCACTTATCTTGTGGGGAAAGAGTATCACTATATAGAACATGGCACTCCTGAAAAGTTCTGAAAATTTATTTGTTGGCCTCATGGGACGTAGATTTTGTCAGTTGATAGAAACTAGCCTCATTCTCTTTTCAACTCTAAATGGTGTGTTTGGATGCAACTGCTGTAGTGGGAGGATCTATCTTCATTGTACACATAGATTGAAAACAAAATTTCCCGAAACTTAATCCGTTCATTAATATCGGCATTGTGTTCATGTTCGAAGGTTTTCTGTGTTGTGTATGGCCTCCTGCCAAAAACTACAGCTGAGAAGTACTAAAACAAAAGTGAACTGCACTTTTGTCAACTACCGTATAAACTGGAGTATAGGTCAACCTCCTAATTTACGAGTTGCAAAAAAAAGCTTTTATGGCAAGAAAATGCAAACACCTTGGTAACAAAACTGGCCAAGTATACGGAAGGACGAGAAGACACGGCACATTTATTTAATTGTTTCGTACGCATTAAAACAGGAAGTGTGCGGGCGTTTTTACTTGGGTTCTTCAGAACCTGCGTCCTTCACTAACACATTCCAAAGGGACGATGCCGTCCCTTTGAATTGCACCCTCGAGAGTCCGGAGGCACGAGTGACCTCGACGGCTTTCGTACAGATGCACTCCGACGTCGCAGGTAGCCATCTGGCGCGCAGATCCCGAATAAAGTTTGCCACCTTTGTTTCCAATTCGGGGTATACCGCAGTCCATCCACGAAATGATGTTTCCTTTGCCTTGCTGCACACCACCAGTTTTTGTCTCCGGCCTCGCCAGTAGCGCATGCTCTTCTCCAGTACACAGAACTCTCGCTGCGCTGCAAGATTCCCGTGGATCTCTGCATAGGCGATCACCTTCTTCTTGAAGGCTGCCATGAACTGTCTTCTACTTGCGCTAATTATCACTCCGGGAGCGGCAAACCAAGGAGCACATGGGAAAGTGAATCGTGACCATTGTCACAAGTGGATGAGTGCTAGGCAATTGCAAAGAAAAACAAGGTGGCGGCTTCAGCCACCCAGTGTTGAGAGATTATTTTTGTTTTTCCACTAATGACTGTAAGACGAGGGTCGACTTTTTCGGGTCCATTTTCAAAAATAAAGTCGACCTATATTCCGGTTTATATGGTAGGCACCTTGTCATTGCACCAGTTCTTTAGGATAAACATTTTTCAGAAGTATTGTGTAGCCTGTGTGTTAAAGAAGGAACTTGCAAAGGTGGATATGCAGTCATTGGATGATGTGACTGCAACAGTAAACCTGCCGCTTTCTGCAACGTTTCTCCCGGCCTGGAGTCAATCCCATGGCTGTGGCTGTAGGGAAAATGTTTGATTTTTGTCACCCCGTAGAACTTGCAGAGTATACAGCTTTCCCAAAGTACATGGAAGGACTGCAGGAAACTCGGAGAAGAGGCTAGGAGCAATGGCTGCAGTGCCATTTGTTAAGGCACCTCCAGGCACAGTGGAAGGGTGGCTGGCTTTGAAGGCACATATGACTCGTTGGAACCTGAATTTGAGTCCAGTGGCAGTTGTACCCTGAACTTGTTTTGTTTCCCACGGCCATGCTCTTTTTCAGTGCGCAAGTCTGACATGTACTGTGCTGGACGCAGCTTCTTCCTAGCTTTCTCGGATGTCCCTAGAAGAATAGAAGAGGGAGGAAGCATCTGTCAGGCACTTACAATGAGAACTGTTTTGAGCCCTGTTACTCACAGGACCATTCCTGGACTGTGCACCTGCCCATACATCAGTCAGAGAAACTCCTTGAACAATCATGGGCTGCAGCTTTGTTTGATTGTGCTCAACAGTAGAGGAGCAATATCTAACCAGGAATGATGGACCACACAATCCTCCTCGTCTGTGAAGCATAAAGCTTTTCGCTTACACAGAATAATTACAGAAATTCTAGGAGTTCATAGGGTGGCCTTCACTGGTGAAAAGCTTTAGAAACTAATGCAAATGAACAAAAGGTAAGATGGCAAAGCTGGCCCGAGCTGGAATCCAAACACATTTCTGTTAAATGGCTGAGAACGGCCATAAGCAAAGTGTTGAAATCAGACGAGTTCCAACCACTTGGATCGTTAGCACTGTGCGCAGAGGTTAGAGTCTTTCAAAGCACTGTTTATGCACCTGTGAAAAGTTCTGGAAGCCTTATTAGGCATGATAAAAAAAAAAAAAAAAAACTATTCCTGCTTTTACCTGAAGAAAAAAGCTAGTTTTGCGCATTGTTCGTACGCGCCACAGAGTACCGTATTTACTCGCAGAATGAACGCACTTTCTATTACGAAAAATCGATGCAAAGTTGGGGGGGGGGGGCGTTCATTACGCGGAGTAAAATTTTTGCGTCCGTATTTACTCGCAAAATGAACGGACCTTTTATCCTGAAAAATCGAAGTAACTTCTTATCTCTTTGCGCGCGGCGCCCGACCCCGTAATTAAACTAAGCTGTGCAAAAAAAACTCCTCTGTTTTTTTCTTTTAATTCCTTGGGTGCTTTTTTTTTTTGTCGCCTTTCGCAAGATGTTTTGTTTGCTGAGGCGTTGCTTAGGCGAGGGCTCTCCGCTTATCTCCGCGCGCGATTCGACGCACGCCCCCCCCCCCCCCTAACCAAACTGCGCTGTGCAAAAAAAAAAAAAAAAAAAAAAAAAAAAAAAAAAGCTTTTTTTTTTTAAGTTTCGCAATCTTTTTTTTTTTTTTTTTGCCGCCTTTCGCAAGCTGTTTCGTTTGCTAGAGGGCTTCTCCGCTCCTTTCTTACTCCTTGCGCGCGGCGCGCGACCCCCCGTAACCAAACTGCGCTGCGCAAAAAAAAAAAAAGAAAGTTTTTTTTTTTGTTGTTTTTGTTTTCTCTTAATTCCATGGCTTTTTTTTTTCTTCTTGCTGCCTTTTGCAAGCTGTTTCGTTTGCTTAGAGCGCTTCTCTTTTGCGCGCAATCCCACAGTCCAGACTGCGCTGTGCAAAAAAAAAAAAAAAAAAAAAAAAAAGCTTTTCTCTTTGTTTTTTTTTTTTGTTTCCGTTGGATCTTTGTGAATTTTTTTGACGCCTTTTGCAAGGCGTTTTGTTCGCCGCTGTCCATGCATTCGCGACCTCGCTGCACCAGGAAAAAAAAGTGCGTTCATTTCGCGCGCGTGGGGGGAGGGGGTCAAAATTTTGACGTCCCAGTTGGGGGTGCGTTTATTACGCGAGTGAAAAAAAAAAGTCGAAATTTTGAGAGCCGACTTGGGGGGTGTGTTCATTACGCGAGTGCGTTCATTGTGCGAGTAAATACTGTAGTTCTTATGAGATTTGGTTATCGAAGGAAAAAGCGATGCTCTTGGCATTGGGAACGTGTACATCTTGATATAAGATAACATATATATAATAAAAAAATCACCTGCATATATCTTAATTATCCACATAAAAAGGGGGATTAGTAATGCTCTGCAAGGAGCCAAACTTCTTTTACTACGATTCTTGAAGTGAAAACGGATATAGTTGTGTATGTAAAAGGGTGCGCACAATTCAAATAGCCAAGGCTGCGCATGCAGGTTCGAAATAGATAAAATCAAATACGGTATAAATCTTATTGCTGTATATGAACGAGCGCGCTTACACATGTCCATGCAAGTCCCGCAAAGGAACGGTTGAGTTAAGGCAGGGTCGTTGGGCTTTGAGAATAAGGTTTTCAACTGCCTCCAGAAATGTTCTTGGCACCAGTTTGTTGCGGTTTTTCGGGGGGCGGGCAGGACGGACGGGAAGAGACTGATACCGCAGTTTTGTAGCTGGTGTGCAAAAAATATTTGCTTAAGACAAGTACTAAATATCTTTTTAACTTAGCTTATAAGCTTGTTAATCTAACAAGAAAATATAGCTTATTTAAGGGATTGTGGTGTTTTTAAAATTATGCTGAATAAGCATGTGATAGCATCTGACCAAGCTACTAGCGCCACCTACCGCAGTCTCCCATTTTTATATCCCTCTAGGTTAAACCTAGCCTGAAGAAATGTACTCGCCTTGAACTTCATTTTTTTTATTCTTGCGCGTCTGCTTCTCATTGCGTTATTCCACGCTGATTAATAAAACTTGCATTTGATTGTTACTTCGCATCGTCCTCGCTTCCTCTGCCTGCACAAAGCTCAGCAAAATGTGTTTATTTTCTGATCCTTCATCCGTTAAATAATCGGTGCAGTGAGGAATTTGATCAGACGCTTGTCTTGCCCTCACCGACATCTCTAAAAACGTCCTGTGGTGAACGTCCCACGGAGATCTCACACTGGACGTTCCTTAGTAGGACATCCCGGGGATGTCACTTAACATACGTGTTAGGACATCCAAATAAAGGTAAACCCTCGCAAGTCTTGCGGATGTCCCATATGGGATGTGGGACGTGGGAATCTTTTTGGGATGTACCTCAGATGACAACATATTATCTGGGAAATGACCACCCGTTGGTTTGCACGAGAACTCTTTCCGTCAAAAGGTCTGTGTTGTGGCCTACGGGAGGAGAGCACCGGCCCACTTGCCGGTTCAACTTGACGGCAAGGGGCTGGCGCACAGGGAGCCTCCGTGCTGGGTGCTGCCTAATTCCGACGGTGGGTGGGACGGACGACCCGTACTGTCTGGGAGCTCCGCTCGTGGAGCTCGGTTTCTGTTGTTTTGCGAAATGTGCCAGTCTCGCTCGCTTTGATAGATGTTTTTGGTGATGAAACAAGCATTCAACAAAGATAGTGCAGCTTTTTGGCCGCACGGTAGGAACACTGTTTTATCTCGAAACAAGCTGCACTTGATTGAACAAGCAGAGCCTGAAATTCCTGCAGTCTACCTGTCGGATGAGCATTGGAGTTGTGGATCTGGCATTGGTAGGAGGGAGCCGTTTTACGTTAATTTATTCGCGTCCCTCGGAGCGCCCTCGTTCGAGGGCATCGCTTGAGAGGGTGCGTGTCACGAGAGCTTACCACCGCAACGATGATTGCAACGGCGGCTGATTTTGTGTGTTGTTTGTGTCTTCTAGCGATTGGGTTCAACGTGGAGCAAGTTACCTACAAAAACCTCAAGTTCCAGGTCTGGGACCTCGGTGGCCAGACGAGCATAAGGTAAAGCGGTGTTTCTTTGAGGGGTCTGAAACCCTCGTCCTTTATTATGCGACCCACATTCGTTTGTTTATCGTCCGGATTCATTTAAAGAAGATAATCTTGGTTTCCCGGGGAGCTCCCCTCTCAGTTCTAGAAATACATCTTGATAGATAACTAATAGGAAAGTAGTGTTTTCTGCGCTAGATGGCGACGTAGACCGGACTCGATGGGCAAAGCCAGACTGTCGGATATCGCTCCAACAGCGGCGCCATAATGACGTCACGCACGCGAGTCAGCGGATGACATCTGACGTCCGATATTATGCTCAGATACTTGGAAGACGACCGACCTCATTGAGCCCTAGCGTTGTCTGTTACACCACGGTTGGCTTTTAGGCTTCAAGCCGTCTGCCGACTCCATACGTTGTTCGTGCCACCGTATGTCGTGTTACGGAGGAGAGTATGTGAGGAAAATCATTTGCAACTTCGATAGGTCAAGCCGTGTTCCGATGCGATTGTCAAATGACGAGCCGCGAATACGTTCTCGCTTTGACCAGAAAAGTGCCGATTCACTCGGAGAAAAAGAATAAGAGGGCTGGAAATAGCTTGATTCACGAGCGTCTGGCACGTTAAACTTTGGTTCGCACGGCATGTGTACGCTCAAATAAAGCCAACTACCTTCTCATATTGCGCATTTAGCTGTTTTTGCTGCGAAACACTCGATTGCCCTTGCTAGACAGCGTCGTGCTATGGGTATTTCCTGCGATTCGAAACGTCAAAGTTGTTGCACATCAAACGGTACGTGTGAACTTAGCCGATTGTGCGAAACTTTGATTTCGCGATATCGATGTGCATAAAACTAGAAAAAGCTCATCACATGAACTGTGTAAAGAGGTGTGACTTGCAAACCAACGTTTCCGCGAAAATGGCTGAATATACTGAAGTGTGACTTATACGAGGGTGCGACTTGTAGTCCGGAAAATACGGTAAAAGAATATGAATGTTTTGCTGAAGAGCTCTGGTCAAGGGAAAGTTTTTGCATTCTCAATATTCGCTGACAGTTTCGAGACACTTGCATTAGTTATATTTAGTGCTACCGTTTAATGTAGGTTAAGCTTCAGGTGGTTTTGTCGCACTAAAAACATTGCAGCATTTTTCCTCGCTAATTTTTGTAGGCTTTACGCGAAATTTAGCAACAGCTGCACAAGGAGAAATCTGCTTGTAACTCGAGTTTCTCTCCCTACAAGAGCCACTCCAAGGTGACCTTTTGCTGCCGTCGCCACCTCGTTGCGCAAGCGAGCTTGCACAAGCCCCGAATCTCTTGGGTGCGGAGAGGCGTCATCGCGGTTCTTAGCTTACAAGGTCTGGAACAGTTTTGTTGCGCTATGGGGAAGTTTTCCCTAGGGACGAATGTAAGCGCTAGAGGCACGCTCCCAACGTCGGCAGTCGACCGATCGTATCGCTCCGAGAACCCAACGGATGGAGTAAGTTGCTGGATGTACCCATTTTTTTGCAATGTCCTGGGAACCCGTTACAAACAACAATTGGAGACGCCATCCATCATCGAGACCTAGGGGCTCTAATATTCTGAAATAGTAGGAACGTCGTGCAAAGGGTGGTACGTCCGCTTTAAAACAGTTGTCAAAATTTTTCTAAATTGTTTTTGTAACTTATTTTTTTTCCTCGTTTATGGATCAGAGCGGCTTGAGGTGACAAATTTCACTAGAGTGGAAACCTCCGAAGTTTCCGAACCCCTCAGTAGTCTATCTAAGGACCGTGGCGTCTCGGGGGTACCAGGAGGTGGCTGTGTTGAGCGTGGGCGTGTCTCCCCCCAGGCCGTACTGGCGGTGCTACTTCTCCAACACGGACGCCATTATCTACGTGGTGGACAGTGCGGACCGGGACCGCATCGGCATCTCCAAGGAGGAGCTGGTCTCCATGCTCGAGGTGGGTGTTGCCGCTCTTCCCTCAGTTAGGTTTGGCAGGGAAACTGGAGGAGATTTTGGGTCCTCCCAAACGTCATCCCTCGGGCACCCCGTGTGCAGGAAGAGGAGCTGAAAAAGGCGGTGCTGGTGGTGCTGGCCAACAAGCAGGACCTGGAGGAGGCTATGACGGTCTCCGAGATCCACACGGCCCTGGGGCTGGACGCCCTCAAGAGCCGCACCTTCCAGATCTTCAAGACGTCCGCCCTCAAAGGCAATGGCCTCGACGAAGCCATGGAGTGGTGCGCCCCTCTCTCTTTTCTGCTGGCTGTGTCCTTTGCCTGTTGTCTGTTACTGGAGCGACGGAACCGGTGGAATGTTGGATCTGCATTGCCTGCAATAGAAAGTGATCCTAATGTTCATTCTAAATGTAAACCTAAACTTTGCACAAAAGGAGTGTGTTTGAGAATGGTCCCTCTCCATTGGTCATGAAAGTGTTACCGCCAGTGGCGCTAGCAAGGCTGTCCGCCTGTACCTGCTCACATGCGGGGAACGGACAAGAACCGTTTTCGAGCGACCATCTTCTGTGGAGCTTGTCAACTGATAGGTCTGAGAAGTTGGTTTTAGTAGCATGGCTTGGATGTCATCCTCTAACTCTTCCCTTCACTAACATAAACATTGACGGAATTCCTCTTATTGAGAGAGTAGATGTCCAAAATGCTAGAACCACTTCAGATAGACCTTTTGCTACATCACCCAACCAGCAAGGAGCGTGCCTCCAGTAGAGTCAATGCGCTACATGTGCTTCAGCGGTAACTGTTCTAAAACAGAAATCGAAATCAAAAGGCACTTTGCAAGCGCGTTCATAGACGCATTATTTTTATTTTTTGGTTCGGATGTTTTGTATTGATAAAGCGGGTGCCTATGCTCCCGGCACTTTTGCTCGGTGCTGAAGCAATTTGGCAATAGTCTATTACAGCTCGTAGCAATTTTCCGGCTCTAGCGCGCGTCGGTCGTTGGCTCCATTTGTCTCTCTGGCAGAGGCCAGCACGGGCCTTCCTGTTGCTGCGGAAGTCCCCTGCCGCGGCGCCCTCAACCTCGAAGAGCTTTTGTTGGTGGGAGATTCTTCAAAACACTCCTCACAATTGGTTGCACAGCGTTTAACTCGTTGGGCAGAGGACCCGTGCAGCGTGTTTTCTGTGGGCACGGATCGAAGTCGAAGCTCTCAAATGAGACCACTGTAACGGTTCCAACCCTCGCCGAGCTTGACCTGTAGGGATGGCCATAGACGGACAAATCGGTTCACTCGCAGCTGAATGGAACTGGTCCGAGCTGGATCCAGCTGGATTGTCTCATTTCAAGCTGGATCTAGCAAGGATCAGTTTCATAATTCAGCTGCAGGTGGATTGAAAGAGGTGTTGGTAGTGGTCTTGTCTTGTTGGTATCGCTGTTTCTTGGGTTTACACGCGCTACCGAGTTTTTTTTAGCACGATCTGCATCTTGTTTCCACGTGCTTGCACACAGACTTGTAATGATGCCCCTCACAGCTACGGCACATGGTACTCTTTGGTAGAGTTTGTTTGGTGGTAGTGATGTCCACAATTTGACTATCCTCTCGTATCATTGGCAAGCTGGTCTCATTCTTTGCGATTTCCATTCCCTAGTCTTTATGCGGGGAATGGAAATCGCTAATCAACATTTTGTCAGAGGTAGGACGCCAATGGCAGAAATGCCACTTCGGTGGCATCTCTGTCGTTCTAAATTTCGAGGTGCTGGGTTCGGAGCCTTACCGAAGTGCTTGTAATCTGACGGAAGCTCGTTGCGGAGAACAAGCCGTGTGACCGAGATTTCGGATGCGTGTCGCAAGGTCCCCCGGGTGGTTAAAATCATTCCACAGACTTCCGCCGAAGCCCTCGGTTGGCTAGGCACATAAAATTCTCGCATACGATTTAATTCCGATTTAACCGCAGAAGCTGGCAGTATGTTCAAATCCTGCATTGTTTGAGAGAATAGCGAGTCGTTAAACGTGCCAGTTCTACGGCAGACTTCCTTTACCTAAGAGATGCGATTCCTTCGTCACGATTTGTAGTCCGGCTACTCTCAAGACGTGGTGCTTTGGGGCGGTGGAATCTCCCCGACGTCACCCACCTGCATGTCGGGTGTAGCCATCTGGGGCAAAGTCACGAGATCCACTCGGTGCTGGAGCCCTGCTCCGGACAAGGCCTCTGTGCGCATCGGCTGCAGGGAGTCCTTGCTCCGCATTTTAACAGACTCCGTCAGAATGTCGGCTACCTTGGGCGACAGATGTGTTCAGAAATGTGCGAAGCTGTTATTTGCATCGTCATTTTAGCAAATTGCTTGTATCGCTAGTAATAATGTTTCTCACGTACTGCTGCGGGTATTGAAGCGCGCTTAAAATCCTCATCAGCTAAACTTTCGAAAAGAAGCGTCTGCTCGCGACACATTTAGAATAGATTCACCCGCATTTGTAGAATCGCCGAGAAACTACCGAACTGTGTTAGGTGCATGTTTAGACAGCAGGAAGTTACTCTGCCCCAATGAGCATCCTCTGCACAGCAGACAGCATCCGCTGTTTACAGCAGAGAGCGTCCGGGGTGTCTGCTATAAACAAATTTTTCCTGCTTAGGACGCACGACCGAACGCCGGTGCAACGCTCTTCCAGATAGAAACGGGCACAGGTGGGGATTGAGTCCAGGATCCCCGGCTTTCGCGATCTGAGCTTTTGTGCTCCAAGCGGTGGCGCAATACTGCGCTCGGCCACCGATCCCCCCCAACGACGGGAGGTTTTTGTCCTTACGGTTATAGTTGCCAACAAGGTGAGTGGGAGGAGCGTTAGTCGTCCGGCGCAAGCTTCCTACCTTGGGCAACGGCATTTGTGCACCTCGAGCACGTGCATGCAACCAAAGCGGAAGGCAAGGAGCACGTGATGGGGGCCGGGCACTCGAAAGCCCTTTCGTTGTCAGTCTGTCGGCAATTGTAGCGGATGACGAGCCCGCAATCCGCCGGCACCTGCGAATAATGGGACACTGTTCGGAACATTGTCCGTCGTAGAGTGTCTACCGGAAGTTCCCCGACCGACGCGATCCGGCCAAGCCGACCTCGGGACGTCAACGTCGGAGGCCCTGAGACGTTTCCTCCTCCTGCAGGTTATCCAATGCCCTGACCAACAGCAAGTGACGGCCGGGCCGCCCGGGCAAGAGGCTGCCTCCCGGGCCGGGCTGTGCGGTGGCACACCTCGGCGTCTCGTCGGCGCGCGTGTTGCTCCGACGGAGGAACGGGGAATAGTGTGTCCACGACGCCTGCTCGCGAGGACCCCCCTGAAAGTGTGGTGGTGTGGGGGCGCCCGGCAGCACGCCGCGTCGGACTCTGGAGGAAGCGTGGAGGACTCTGGCGCACGTGGGGGGGAACGCGTCGGGCGGCCGCTGTCGCCTCTCCGACGTTGCTCCTCCTTTCTAGTCTGCGCCCGCGAGCCCAGCGAGAGGGAAAAAAGGATTTATATTTTCGGGTTGTTTCGGAACGGAGCACCGGCAGTGTCGGAAACATTCCTCCCGGTTGCTTCTGGCTGGTTCTATACCTTTTTTTTTTGTTTTTGTTGACGATGTAGCTTGAATGTGATCTTTTGTTTTGTCCTTTTAGTACGCGATAAAAAGAAAGTGCCGACTTTGGAACGGTGTTCTTGTCCCGGCTTCTTTGGCCGTCCTGGCTTTGGTCGGGGTAGGCCAGAGGGACGCTCGTCACCTTCCATTTTCTGTAGGGCGGGCTCCTGGAGTGTGCAGGAAGATGCCGTTGGGGGTGAACTCTGCTGCCGTCGTCTGGCCCTGAAATCGGGGAAGTTCTCCTGCGACTGTTGAAAGTGTCGCGTGAACCTTTGGTTGCGCGCATTTGAAATTTGAGAAACATTGCCAGTGGTTGCGCAAGAGCCGGGACAGTATTCTCACTAATTAGCGGTCATGACTCGGGCCACGGAAGAACTAACAACCAAATGTTCAATAAGGCAAACCTGTGCCCAGAAAAAAAAAAAAAAGGAATGACTGCTTAACGGTCGTATGTTGAGCTAGCCGGTTCGTTATGTTGTCGATTGGGGCAGTTGAGCACATCCTAGAATACGTAAGAAATAAGTGGACGTACACACCGCCGACTAACAACTGCGTTTTAATGAAGGATGTTGACTGGATATATGTCCGCAAAAATGAGAATCAACGTTCTTGGGACTTGAGCAAAGACAGTGAGCGGTGTGCATCCTTCTCTTGCGTGTATTTGTGTCTGGGTTCAACTGGCCCCATGGACGAAGAGAATGACCGTTGTAGCGGGCGTCGGTGTTGGGAATGCGGCAGGATCAAATGCCAACACAAGCGCAATTTGATCCAGCGGCCTGCGTCTTCTTTCACGGGCACTCTACGATTGCGAATGTTTTAGGGTATGCGAGGGGGGGGAATAAGTGAAATTCATTTTATTTTCTGTCGGGGCCCAAAGGTATTAGAGGGAGGAGTGTGGCACTGCAACATACATTGTTGCAGTGCCACACACAGTGTTGGGGCAAACTCAACGTGATAAATCTTGCAAAAGAAACATAGGCAAGATATTCTTCTACGAAGGGAAATGTTGGGTAAGGATTGGGATGCTTTCATAGAGGTAATACTAGCTGTGTGGTGACAGGAAGTAGAAAATGTGCGAAGAAATTTTGGATGGATTCTGCCGCAAGTGCCAGGGCCCCAACTTGGAGCTGCATATTCGAGTTGAGTAGAAATTAAAGTTCTATAAGAAGTTTTCATGAAACTAGGACAAGAGAAGATTCGACATAACCCAATAATTAGCGTTGTTTGTGACATGATCGGCACAGATGTTCCGGGAGAGATCATCAGTTAAGTGAACACCGAGGTTGCCCTCAAACATTCCAGTCGGGCCAAAGAAGGACAAAAGAGAGAAGCTGCCGGCAGGGGTTGAACCCACCCGCCTGGGAGTTGCATGCGGGGCGTTGCTACCCGGCATTTAATTTCTTTCCCAGAAACTCTTATTAGCGTCTATGTGCAGGAGGAGGAAATGGGGCAGGGTATTTGAAGTGATGCAACCTTGAGATATCTGCCGCCCCAATGTTTCAGAGTTCGGGGAGCTGTTTCTTGCGGTAAATTATGTCTACGATTCGTTGCGGGCCTCCAGTGGTCGTCACCAGGTGGCAATGTGGTCTGTTGCAGACCAGAGCCTTTTCTTGCAACTTTGTTTGCTCATGCGGAGTTTTTGCTGGATCGACGCCGTGCGACTCCACCCATATCCTGACGGTTTCCGTTGAGCTTGCGATACCAAACTGCACCAGAGTGTTGCCCTTCCATGTTCATTTTACCCGAGTGTCTGTTTGAGGGCTGTGCATAAACACTGCACCGGAGGTCAAACTCTCGCTACCAAATTTAAGAACTGGCTCGGCTAGCTGCTAACCATTCGGTAGGCACTCGCAAATTTTCTAAGCTTTCGAATACTATCGATTTGGATAATTCATTCGGCCTTTGCGTCAAACGCTGGTGTTTGTACCAAATGCCAGCGTTCCAGTTTGTTTTGGTCAAGTTTGTTTCCTGCATTTTATGGGTCTCGGTTGGGCCGATGTGTTCGTTGCTTTTGTTAATGCCGGACAGCCCAAACATCTTAAACAAATACGCAAAGCGAAGAAACGGGCAAATGATGGGCAGTAGATGCTTCACCTTCGGCACGCATTCGTAACCTTCCGGTGTATGTGGCTTTCTGCGGGCCGAATTGTGATGCGAGGTAGGAAGCTCATGCCGGAGGCGGAGCGTGTTTTGCCTACCTTACGTTTTAAGAAACTATAGTAGCTGCGCTTTAATTTGTCGTCCCTATAAATATGTGAAAAAATTATTACGGATCACACTACCCAACAACCACTCGTCTCCTCAAAAAAGTAGGTTTTTTTTGTGCACAATGAAATTAATTGTGTGTTGCCGTACACTTGAGGCCTGTTCGCACATTTGCGACCGCTTAGCACCGTCTGCCTTGGAACCTGTCAAAATTTCTTGCAAGAGATGATGACGCCATCTATGCGGTAACCCTGAAAATTAATTTCTCTAGAGCGAAGCTTTGGCAAGATCAAATGTACGTAGTACCTATAAGAAATGGTTCTTTATAACAACATCAAAAGAGTTCCGAGCCAAAAAAAAGAAGGAATGATGAGCGAAAAAACTAGGAAATATATGGGACTGCCAACTTTTGCACGGCCACCCGATAGTTTGTGCTAGTGTGTTGTCTGGTCCAGCTCTGCTCTGGTCTAGAGCAGAATTCAGACAAGTCTTTGAAAACCCTTGAATTTGAAAAAGATTTTCCAGACCTTGAATGCCCTGCAAATCCTAGCAGTGCTTGAAAACCCTCAATTTTTTTTTTTGCACTAATGAATTTTTAATTACTAAAATATAAGTATATTTTTATGTGTATGTTAGCATAAATTTCAACGAGGAAGTTTTTTTATATCGCACATTTAGACATGTTAGTGTCAGTCCCGGTGGTTCCGGATCCAGTCGACCATCAGCCATCTTGCCCCTCTTTTGCCTTTGTTTTCTCGTATACCGTTTGCTAGCTACTCCTGCTTTGTTTGTCATGCATCTGTTTTACGCTGCACGTGGTGAACATAGTTTAAATTGTGCGCAATGCCCACAGAGTGTAACTTCTTGAACATCCGTAGTCATCGCCCCAAGAGGGTGGGACTAAGCCCGTGCACCTTAAAATTACATGTTAATAGCTTAATTTTTTTTTGTTCTGTATTAGCTCAAATAACCAATCAGTACTGCCCTTAATAGACTACTTCCATAAAGCCCTGCATGCAACACGGCGCGCGTTGCACTCTGGGAACTAGTTGGCCAGGGAGGAGGGTGGCATGGTTTCGGTTTCGATCGACACGTCGACAAGAGATGGTTTTCTGGTCCCGAGAGCGTCATTTGTGGTCTCTAAACTAACCTAAAAGGCCAGGCCTCGAAGCTTTAGCACAAGCCTGAGACGTATAGCTTGTCTTAACACATGCTTGTTGTATTTTTGTACTTGAGTCTTCCTGTTAGCGTTCGAATCGAGGTATGTGGACGAGCCAGTGCTGGGAATCTCGACGCTGCGAAGCTCGGGTTTCTTGCTTGTATACGAATCAACAAGCTGTAGCAACCAATAAGTATGCATACATCGAGCTCGCGCCTTTACATTAGTGTTGCTGATCAGGAAGTTTGTTGGTTTCGTGCGTCCATAGACCAAATATTACTTTTTGCAATTACTGTATTTCTTAATATGCCTGAATATGCGAGGTAAAACTCGGAGGCGCCATTGAAAAGCTCAATTTTGACACACTTCTTATCTCTTATCTGTACTGACCCGCAGCACTGCACGAAGTGAAGTCCCTACCCGCTTGCATTCCATTAATATTCAACATCGCGTATGCACATAAAGTTATCCTGTAATCATATAGGCAAATTCGCACATACAGACCGTTTTGAAAAAGCAAAAGTCGAGCACTTGTGTGAAGAATGTCGCACCGTTCCCCGGAAGTGCGCCGGACGGGCAGGTACCCCCATGCGCACCGCATAGGGGTTCATGCCCGTCCGGCGCACGGTGCGGCATTCTTCACACAAGTGCTCGAACGAATTCAAAGCGCGTTTGACGGTTGCTAATGGCCATAATATTTGTTTTGTGTTTGTTTTTTTCCTGCCTGAGTATGCCGAGATAATTTCAGACACACCGTTCAGGCGCAGATCTTGGGCGTCAGTAAAAGCTCGTCCAAAAAGGCTTAGCGAGGAGTAGGGGACGCTTGTTAGGGCCTCCGTCGTAGCTAGCCGATCTCAGCGTTTGCGAGAAATTAATCGCGAGAAATTAATCTTCTGCCAGCATAAAATTCGAGTGGGAGATATATGATGACACGAGGAAGAGATCATAGTAACTGCGTTTCCTTAAAAGTTCTTGCGTAAACGCTGGGCTCAACTTTGATACCCTGTGAGGATGCGGCTTTCTTTTCGCCCAATGAAGTAACAAGAAACGGACGTTTGGCAAACAAAATACGTATAAGGCTCCAGATGAACGAATTTTAGTTCTAGTTCAGTGGTACTAGACGGGATTATTGAAATTGAGCTCAAACATGCACCCGTAGGGTGAGGTGACTAATAGCGAGTTCGTTTCACGGCACTCGTGCCCACGCGTGCCCACTCGCAGCGTGGAACGGGTTCGTTTCGGCCGGCACTCCACGAGTGGTTGCACTCTCCGAGTTCGTTTCAGCGCTGACACCCCACGCGTGCATGCACTCGCTGCACCGAGAAAATCGGGAGTGCGCCAAAATGCAATCCCGTCATGCCTCGCTCCGGCGGGGCCGGCGAGGAGCGGGAGCAGACGACGAGGGTTCGTCTGCTACGATGTGTCGCGGAACCGAAAGGAAAAAAAGTAGATTTTCTGATAGAAATCGCGTCCCGCGGGCAACGAAATCAAACGCGAGCTTGAATTGTGAGCGTCTGCTATTTCACGAAGGAAGCAATCGACAACCCGTGATTTATTTGCAGGTTTTAAATCGCTCTGTTGCCGTACAAACGCTGAAATATACCAGTGTGTAAAGAAATGCTCAGAACAAACGCAACAGCGGCCCCCGAGATGTCTATCACCATCCGGTGTGCGGGTGAAAAATTTAACATTATTCGATAAAACTCCC